CAAGATCCGGGTATCATTTTAAATTTCTGAAAATAAAGTCTGGGGGCTGGAGACTAATTATAGTTTGGTGCGTTTTGGGATTTACATCCGTGGAAATATATTAATTCGTACATTTTGCTTCTTTGAGCATGATGAACTGCGAACGTCTTTTCTGTCGTATTATCTATAATACCTCTTACTAAAGCTCACCTTTTCCTTACAGGTGATGACGCGGGTTCTGCAAAATCACGCCGGTTAGTGGGACAGTTACTCCTGCATGATTACAAATTCTTCACTTAGATCGAAAAAAAACCCCTTATCGTATGAACCCACTCTACCAGATTTAAACTTAAGGCTTGATGGTAATGCAACGAGAACGTTAATCATTATCCATGGAAATCTTGTTTTGTGTATCAGAATCTAAACTTTAATTGATTCAACTTACAAATAAGAAATGTGAAAGGATAGTTCCACAAAATTTCAGAGCTTGGATCCGTGAATGTTGTGAATTAATTCTGTTTGCCTTCGAAATATCGTGAAAATTATTTCTTTTAACAGCATGAATAATTCTGGTACTGTGTCTAACAGGTAAAGAAAATTATTCATGCGTATATTTTTGTTCGTTATTATGGTGTTCAGCCAAGAAGAAGATGATAAAAAGGCGAAGCAAGAACAAGAACGAAGAAAAAAAGAGGAAGACGCAAGGAAACAACGGGAACAGGAGGTGATATACGTTTTGATTTACCTCACGTTTTTGAGCCTTCGACATCATTAAGTTTTAATTCAAACAAATTAAGATACAAGTTTTGTAAATAAAGTATTTTACCTGGTGTTGGCAGGAGGAAGAAGAAGAAGAAGAGGAAGGACAAGCTCCACCTGCCAAGGTACAGACATTCCATCGTCCACCATACCGATTGAGGTGTCGCGTGCTTGTTCGGATATAAAGAATGGAAGGTTTATTGTTACAAATGAGCTGCGTTAAACACTTTGCGAGACTGACTTATATCACTTTTACAATTACCTAACGATGCGCATATTCTAGGACAATCTAAAACTACAAGTAATGTGAAAGTGTGCTCTCTTTTATATTTCGAGACATGATAGCGCGTCCTTATAAATCTTGACCGCTGTAGGTAGGGACGCTACAAGAACGATAATTGGCAGGGAAGGGGGACAATATTCATATGTTCTTGTTCTGCAGTATTTATTTCTTTTGAAATCAAAATCGTTCTTGCGGCGCCCCTAGCCTCCGGATAGAAACACCTGCTTGGTGTAAGATTGCCAGGTAACCCAATACTTTACCAACTCAGCTTGAAGGTTGCGTCAAAGGACGTTTCTTTTGCAACATTTCAACTGGAAGAACCTGCTTCACGTCGTGGTTCATTGGGCTGCGGCTAAGCGTTTTTTAGGGGAGGAGAAATAATTTATTTAGCTATTATTGCATTCCAATCTTCGTCTTTTTCACCTATAAGACCAATGATTACTGGTTCAATGCAACAACAGTGAAAGTTCTTCTACACGCCTAATTGCTTAGGGTGGGACGCACCCAATTCATATTAACACCACCCAACAACTTTTTTAAATTTTCAGGGAGGTGATAAGACTGATGGTCCCAAAACTGCATTTGGAAAGATTGATGATGATCGAAAACGTAAGTTCATTTCATTAATATTGAATTAATTATCCCAAAATAGATAATTTCCTCAGGATGCAGGCACCCATTGTTGAAACGTTTTTAAAATAAATGCCATTAGAATTTTTCAGAAAATGTCTCTCTTTTATGTAGCTTTAAAAGATTTTAGAAACTAAGCTAAAATCACTCTTGAGTGCGTCTTTTTTCGAAACCATAATCAACCCAACCGATAACAACGCGGTTAATCTAAATTTCTCAAATGGAATATTTCACGTTTATATTATTCGTTTCTTATCGCTAATGTTATATTTTATTTTCATTTTCAGGTCGAATCATCGACTCTTTGATTGATCGTCTGTACGAACTCGCCGAGGAGAGGGATGCAAAGAACAAACCTGATGCAAAGACTGCTACATCCGGGGCATCAACTGCTGACATCAGCTCACTCGATCTCAAAGTGCGCTCATTGCGCACGCGCCTACGCAACGCCGAAAATGCTACGGAGAACTTAGCGAAACAGCAGAGAGATGTTGAAATGAAAATTAAAATGAATCATCAAGAGGTTAGTGCAAGGATACTATTGGAAACTGAGGTTTTTAAATTGACCGGAGTCTACCAAATGCATGCTACCGACTATAGTAATAGTAAATGTATGTTTATTGCAAACATCGGGATTAGAGCTACAAAACTACTAGCGGTCTAATTAGAAACAAACAGGATTGCAGTATTTTTTCAATTTTAGGTGGAACGACTTCGTAAAGAATATGGAGTCGCTGAAGCCGAGTATAACGAAGCCATTAAGAATGGTGCTGTTGTGCCCGAGGCGCCTAAACGCGGGCGAGGTGCGGGCGCTGGAAAAGGCGCAGGCTTCTTTGATGTGGTTAAGAAAGCGCAATCGTCTCTCTGGGAAGACAAGTTCCGTGCTTTCAAGGAAAAACAACGCGAATCTGCAGCGGTGAGTGTAATCAGTAACGAGCAAACTACGTTCTGGCTGAAGGGACTTGAACATTGGCATAGCGATTGAACAGATATCCAGACGATTCAGATCCCCGATATATAAACAAGCTGCACCATTGCTTTTCCGATTAGAGTAGTGCCCACTATAATTGTACGAAATGTTGTCGTGAGAACGTTTGCCGCTTGTCGCGAGAGTTCGTTTAAAAGTTTAAAAGTTCATATCAGAGTAATCCCCACGAAGTTAGGTCGATTGAGTCATATTGGGCCGTTGTACATCCAAGCAGGACAACACCTCTCTAAAAATTGTCCGTTTTAGTTTGCTAGTTATATTATGTTTTCAAAGTTTTAGCAGGAATAATGACATTTCTTTCCATATTATTTGTTAGAACCAACCAAATTGGGTTAATAACTTACGAAAGAGTGATAATATCATTGGAACAACTGTCATGAAGCGTGAGGATCCTGAAAAGAAGAAGGAAAAAGCAGCTTGGCAAAACCAACCAAAACTTCACAAAGCCGTCATTGATCCACGTGCCAAGAAGGAAGCAGAGCCCGCGGGCGCCAAGAAACCCGCATGGTCAGGTGTTTCCTTGAAAAAGGCCGAAAAGAAATAGACTGCAAACAAACGTTTTGATTTTGAAATCTTTTACTTTTAAAGTGATAAGCCATAACTTTGGTACAAGAATCTATGTACTTTGAATAATAAAAATGAGGAAAATATTTTGGCCATATATTTTTGTGGTTATTTTGTGACTGCAGATTCGTCTGTTGTCAACATTCTTATATAGGCTTCAACCAAGTTAATATCGAGGTACACTGGCCAACGTTATAATTTATATATAGGTAATCAACAGATCAACAGAATTCACATGCAGGATGTTTATCGCAGGAATTACATTTTTCTTGCCGATCGCCAAAGAGCACATTAATCCAGGCACTACAATATAAACCTACCGTGCACATTGAAAGCAAAATAACCAGACATGTTAGATGCAATTTCTTCATTTTGTTTTATTTTTGCTTTGATCCGCAGGTTGATTGTAATTGTGGTCTTCCTCTTGCTGCCTTATAACGTATTATGATTGAATATAATAAAGTGCAAAATTCATAATATATTTGATTGTTCAGGTAAAGGGGTTATGATACGTATGAACGTTCTCACGCTATGTCGAGACGAAATCTTTCGACACCATTAAAGGCGCAGTAAATAAATTGAAATATTCGTCCAAATATTTAAAAAAACACACATAAAAAATCAGCTTTTTCTGCTAGTGGTTAATTATTGGGTCTCATGTTAGTGGCTAATTATTGGATTTCATAAATCCAGTGGGGGTCATCTCGAAATCGAGACACAGTAAATTGGAGTAATTGTTCACTGTATGTGTTGACTTTGTGCTTCGTAGCAAAATTAAACTTTTTTTCTTTTGAATTTTCTAACCATTTTTCTATGTACTTAGCGCTGTAAAGTGCGAAACATTCGTGGGTTTCACGTATTGTTTTTATAGTGATTTGAGTGTGGGTGAACCTTAATTGCTTCGACCCTTATGCTGAACAGGAATGAGCAAATGATACGAAATTACAAGCAAGTACAGGATGTTGTCTGTTGTAACATTTTAGAGATGGAGCTTATGTTTGCCTCCAAGGAAATCTTAACTACTTGTCTTTAAAAGTACTTGATGATAAAATTCCAAAATGAGAAGTGGAATAGACTATTAATGTTTTACTTCAATGTATTCTACTTCCCTTTGACAAGTCAATTAAATAAACGTCAAAAGAACAGTGGATTTTATTTGTGGTATGTTTATAATTGTGTCATAATTTGTATGTGTAATTGTTACTAAGACTGTTAAATGACATGGAGGAAAATCCAGTCCCTATAGGACTTTGAAATGATATAGTTGATTCAGCCTGTACAGTACATGATAATTATTATCACGGTAATGTTTTAAGGTCATTGTATGCAATTGTTTACATTTACAAAGAAATTAAATCAGTCAATATGAATGAATATTTAGAATCGGTCAATTCTGAGCACCATTTTAATAAGGAGAAACAGTTTGTATGGTATTTTCAGCAAAAATTTAAATAAAAGTCCTTTATACAGCTTAAAATCCCTGCGCACACGCGATATTTTTCCCATCATAGACAGAAAAAAACCAACACAATGAGAACGTTTTCTTACAACTATATGCACGCGAGAAAAGCTGTAAGATTAATATTCACACTGGCAGAATATATCAGTTGTTGGCATTCGAATCTCGCTGTCGGTAACTTACCTGTATATGATGCACATTTCAGATGGAGACCGGAAGTTATTACTTAAAACATACTGCGCTTAAAATGAATAATGATAAGAAATATTTTTGTGCTATTATTCCGCTTCGAGCATCTTGATGATATACAAAACACTGGTGGGTACGTTTATGGCACCATTGCACCATTTTAAATGCATTTTAATTAGTGAACAGATATGGTTTAGATTTATCTATCTTTCTGGCTTATATAATTATAACATGATACTGCTAAGAGTGACACAAAAGTGCAAACACATAGTTATTTTAGTTCAAACATTTCATTGCAAAGGCGGCACTTCTTCAATGATAATACGACAAACTGCACCCCAGCAAGTGTAGGCATCACCTGCCTGGCTTTCGTAACCATATTTACAACTACCAACAGAGAGACCAACGATGATACGACCTTCCTTAATACCCTCACAAAAACCATCCACAGTAGCAGGGCGATGGTTATTCAGGCCGGAGACTCCAATAGGGTGGATTTGAGTTTCAATTGTAGCCGGTGATTGACATTCTCTGCCATTGAATGTCATGAACCAACGTCGACAAACGTTATTGCCACTTATTACTCTCAAATCTCCCTGGTAGGTAACACGTAGAGCTGTGTCAGAGCGAGTCTTTCTGAAATCACATGTCTGAAAGAGAACAAAAACCGCTTCAAAAATATTCAAAAACGGCATCGGCGAATGTGAAATTCGGAAAAATTTTTTTCTAAGGTCTATTAATCTTCGCAATGCAAGTCGAATGGACGACTTGCGCTTTAGACTAATTTCTTACCTCGAAGAAAAAAAGTACATTTTCTGAAAGAGCTTACTCAAATAAGTAAAACTGCCAAGTTTGACTGCGAATTGTTGTAAAATACGGAAAATATACCCATGCGAAGTTGTTGATTTTTGTATACTTTTGTATTACGACCGAATGTTTGTAACTAAATTAGTTACACATTTCCGCACGTAATACAAAAATATACTAAATTTGCCAACTTCGCATGGCTATATTTTCCCTATTTTACAAAATTTCGCAGCCAAACTTTGTAGTTTTACGAATTTAAGTAAGATCTTTCTAGCTGAGGTGATGTATTTTCCTCTAGTTACTTCGATCAAATGTTAGTCTAAAGCGCAAGTCGTCCATTAATGTGCAAGTGATTTCGACCCAAGAAACTCGAAACCTGGCGCCTTCGCATCTCTCCGATCCGGTATATTCTCAATTACCAGGGGAAATTTGATTATAAGCTATATAAAAACTCGGTGAATACAAATGTAGCCGAAAGTGTAATTTTCGCTAGAAATTTTGTACAATTCGGTAAAATCTGGGCAACTTTTCTAGACTCAAAAGTCTCTGGCGAGAGCAGGTAGCCTCCTGCTCATACAGCCAGGTGACCTCCCTGCCTCGTCCATCTATGTACGTTTATAGTGAAAACACAAATAAAAACGCCCAATAACCATATTTCATTGGACGTAAATTTCCAATCATTGTTTTCTAGGAGCAAATGACTGTAGACGGAATACTATGGAAATTGAGCGCATAATTCGAATTCGAATATATTAAAATGGCAGTCCGTAGAAATTTGTCATTCTTCACAGCAATTTGAAAATTTTGAAATCCTAATAGTCAAGGAATAATAAAATAGTACGATTATCAAAAAACATATATTTTTAGAAAAAATGTCGCTGTTTTCACGAACCATGATTTGTCCCGAATCTCTGTCATCTCTCAGATTAGTGTAAGTGCATTGTCTGATGGTCCGTTTCTCCTCTTTTTGACACGAACTCTCACCACTGGAGCAACTGCATGTACTCGATGCATCCTAAAAGAGAAGAGCATAACAATTATAATTATTTAGTCATTGGCAAAGCCTAGGTTTCATAAGTCATGATTAAGTTTACGATCCGGCATTTTCCAAGATCCGATCCACGGACCATAGTGTATGAAATTAGCTAACAATTGGTGGGAGATGACTACACTTTGATGAGTACAATGCAAGTTCAAAAATTGAAAGTCGCCAATCGGACTTATAGGATCAGATATATGCGTCATTAGAATGGCTTGCCCTTTCATTGAGATACCAGGCCCTGGCGGACGTTATGTAGGATATCAACAGAATACACATTCAGGGAGATTATCGAGTCGGTCAAGTTATCATTTTTGTCGCTGAACTGGACGATCATTGTTATTTCGGCCAATACTATATAAACATACCGTGCACAATGTTAAAGAGAGCAAAATAACACCAAGACACGTTAGATGTGACTTCTGCATTTAATTGCTATATTTTTCAGGTTGAATGAAACTGTGCAATCTTTCTCTTGCTGACTTGTGGCGTGATATGAATAGAATATAGATTGAGTTGAAAATATATTTCTGTTGCGTGATTGCTGAGACGGATGTTATGCCACGTTCTTCAGTCATGCTTTTCGTCAAAATTTAAAGTGCCCGAGTTATTAGTCATGTGTTCGTGTAACTGCATATAATTGTATAATTATAGACAAACAACAGATATTTCCAGGACTTCTGGATAAAAATGCACTTTAAGTGTTTGTGGACTTTCACTGTGTCACTGAGCATTTCAATGAGTAATTCGGTTCGCAATATTTTTGGATTCGAAATACTTGAGACCAACAATAGCATCAAAACACATACACAGTCCGGCTTAAAATATTTCGTTTGTCATTTCTCTATCACTCTAATTAACATAGTTTTTGTAGGTAGCCGCTGCGCATGCGCGCATAACAATTATGTAATTGAAATGTGTCTGCATGGATCCGTGGGTTTGTCCGTCCATCTTTGGACGTACGAAAGATGACGAACATACTTGTTCGCGCGTTCAGCGCTACTTTCGGAAAAGATTGCGAGTTGTCCATTTATAATTCAAGATTTCATTGACTGCAGATTCAGGTTGATGTTTAATGACGTCACGATCAAGTGGGCTTTGCATCTGGTTGAGTGTTTAATGACGTCACGATCAAGTGGTCGTTGTATCTGATAAACGTGCGCGTTATCAAGTGAATTGTACCTGTGTATGCTCAAATATATACTGTCATAATGTTTACTTGCGATTGTTACTAAGACTCTCAAATGACGTGGAGGAGAATTCAGGATCTAGGACTATAGATGATATAATAGTTGATGCTGTCTGTACAGTACATGCTGATTTTAACTAGGGTAACGATTTGATATTTGGTGCAAATGCTGGTAAACAGTTTGTAGCTATTGTATACAAAATATTTCACAAAGAGATTAAAATAAGTCAATATTTTGAATTGGTCATTTTTATACTCAATAAAAGTTATTTATTGTTAACAGATGTCCTGAAGTTTTTGATTAATAGATTAGTTCCACTGATTGTGGGGGCATACATCGAAACAAGACACCTGCATGCCGAATATTTGACAGCTATTGTGCTGTACAGACTGTCACAACTTGCTGTGCAGTCTTAATTTTAATACACTGATATAATGAAGTAATCTTACGAACCAACATTGTTTGCTGGGCTGCCTATGGTCTTAATGGCAAGCTTATATAAGCTTGGGAATCAAAAGACTAATAAAGTTTTACTTCAAGTTTTACTTCTTCCCTTCGACAAGTTAATTAAATAAAAGTAAAAAAAACAGTGAATTTTATTTGTGGTATGTTCGAATGATATACTGTCAATTGTGTCGTAATTTGTATGGGTACTTGTTACTAAGACTGTTAAATGACATGGAGGAAAATCCAGTTCCTAGGACTATAAATGATATAGTTGATTCAGCCTGTACAGTACATGATAATTATTATCAGGGTAATATTTTAATGTCATGGTATGCAATTGTTTACACAGAAATTAAATCAGTCATATTTAGAATCGTTCAATTCTAAGCACAATTTTAATAAGTAGAAGCAGTTTGTATGATATTTTCAGCCAATATTTAAATAAAAGTTCTTTATTGTTTACTGATGCCCGCAAGTTTGTAAATAGATTGGTTCCACTGATCTCACATCAGTGATTGGCTTCAAAGGCTTTCAGACTCAAAGGCAACCGATATCCACGATTTGCGTACCTTTTTTTATATAAACAATAGCCGCTTGATATCGCCATTCAAATTAAAAGTACGTATCTTTATTGGCCTCTGAATTCTTTCATCACACAGCTTAAAATCCATCCGCACACGCGATATTTTTCCCATCATAGACAGAAAAAAAACAACACAATGAGAACGTTTTCTTACAACTATGCACGCGAGAAAAGCTGTAAGATTAATATTCACACTGGTAGAATAGTATCAGTTGTTGGCATTCGAACCTCGCTGTTGGTAACTTACCTGTATATGATGCACATTTCAGATAGAGACCGCAAGTTATTACTTAAAACATACTATGCTCAAAATAAATAATGATAAGAAATATTTTTGTGCTATTATTCCGCTTCGAGCATCTTGATGATATAAAAAAGACTGGTGGGTACGTTTATGGCACCATTGCACCATTTTAAATGCATTTTAATTAGTGAACAGATATGGTTTAGATTTATCTATCTTTCTGGCTTATATAATTATAACATGATACTGTTATAAGTGACACAAAAGTGCAAACACATAGTTATTTCAGTTCAAACATTTCATTGCAATGGCGGCACTTCTTCAATGATAATACGACAAACTGAACCCCAGCAAGTGTAGGCATCACCTGCCTGGCTTTCGTAACCATATTTACAACTACCAACAGAGAGACCAACAATGATACGACCTTGCTTAATACCCTCACAAAAACCATCCACAGTAGCAGGGCGATGGTTATTCAGGCCGGAGACTCCAATAGGGTGGATTTGAGTTTCAATTGTAGCAGGTGATTGACATTCTCTGCCATTGATTGTCAAGAACCAACGTCGACAAACGTTATTGCCACTTATTACTCTCAAATCTCCCTGGTAGGTAACACGCAGAGCTGTGTCAGAGCGAGTCTTTCTGAAATCACATGTCTGAAAGAAAACAAAAACCGCTTTAAAAATTTTCAAAAATGGCATCTGCGAAGGTGAAATTTGGAAAAAAAAAATTTCTAAGGTCTCGTAATATTCGCAATTTTAACACGTGCAAATCCAAATTAATTTTGTAGCTTAACTCATTGCCTCGTTGATATGCAAGTGATGTCGCCCCAGAAGCTCAAAATCTCTCCGATCCGATAAATTCTTGAAGGTAAAATTTGATTATAAGCTATATAAAAACTCGGTGAATACAAATTTAGCCGAAAGTGTAATTTTCGCTCGAAATTTTGTACAATTCGGTAAAATCTGCTCAACTTTTCTAAATTCAAAAGTCTGGCGAGAGAAGGTGACCTCCCTGCCTCGTACACCCATGCATGTACGTTTATAGTGAATGCATACCCGTTAGCGTGAAAACACAAATGAAAACGCCCAATAACCATATCTTATTGGACGCATATAGCCTTAATAAAATTGCCAATCATTGTTTTCTAGGAGCATGCATGCATGAATATTACGGAAATTGAGTACATAATTCGAAATAAATGTATTAAAATGGCAATCCATAGCAATTTGACTTTCTTGACAGCAATTTGAAAATTTCAAAAGGAATAATAAACTAGTACGATTGTCAAAAAACATATATTTTTAGAAGAAATGTCGCTCTTTTTACGAACCATGATTTGTCCCGAATTTCTGTCATCTCTCAGATTAGTGTAAGTGCATTGTCTGATGGTCCGTTTCTCCTCTTTTTGACACGAACTCTCACCACTGGAGCAACTGCATGTGCTCGATGCATCCTAAAAGGGAACAGCATAATAACTATAATTATGTAGTCATTATTGCTTAAGCCTAGGTTTTATAAGTCATGATTCATCCCGAATGCTTTACGATCCATTGTCCAAGATCCCAACCATGGTCCATACTGTATGAAATTAGCTAACAATTGGTGAGGATTACTAGCCTGAAATATTCGTAGCTAAATGTACAAATGAATATTGTTGTAAATTTTGGTCAATTTACTTGATTTCCCGAACAAACAACAAAGCAATTTGACCACCTCTTTATCATACCGGTCGCAATGCCCCTGAATGTTAGACCTATAACACTTTTTAAAGCCACTTTGTTTTGTTATAGCCCCCTCTTTCCCTACTCCGTGGTAACGGCTGAATTGCTCTGTGGGGTAGGAAATGTTTCCTGAGGCAGCTAGTTTAACCTAAACCTAATCGACAGTGGATTCATAAGAAAATATAAACCGGTAACGGTACACGCGAGTTGGACCTAGACGGATCATTGAATTAGACTAAGAGTTGCTTTCCATGCAGTTACGCGTTTTTCATATGCACGTACCCGCACGTAAAAGTCTAAATCCTTATAGATGTTATCTTTGTAGACCCGGATGGTAAATAATAAAAATTTAGAAGCATTTAAAATTTTCCGTGCGTATAAAAAACGCGCAACTGGAAAACAACCGTAACTCGAAATACATCAGCTCCTTCACTTACGATGAGTAAATTAGCCAGATTTATCATGCAAAAATATACGAAACATACGACTTTATATCTTCCTTCCTTAACTTCTTAAGTGTAAAGAGATGCCCTATAGTCACTTCAGCCAATACGATATAAACATACCGTGCACAATGTTAAGGAGAGCAAAATAACACCAAGACACGTTAGATGCGATTTCTCCATTTTGTTTTCTTTATTTTGCAGGTTGAAAACTTTGAGATCTTTCTCTTGCTGACTTACGGCGTGTTATGAATAAAATTTAGTTTTGAATTGAAAATATATTTCTGTTGCGTGATCGTTCGAACGGATGTTACGTTTACGCAAATTCTTTCGTTTTGTTAAAATGGATCTTATGACGCAGAGTTATGACGATTCATTTTGTGTAGGTATTAATTGTAGAGCGATTTTTTTGGTTTTAAAATTGAAATCAATATATCAATTTTTATTCATGTAAAAGGAAAATATTGTTTATACACTATTCACGGTATTTGCATTACGTTAGTTCAATTCAGTAAAATTTTGTGGGGGGTATTATATTCATGGGAAGAGCTGGAGACAAAACAATAGCATCCTCGATGATATAAGAAGTACTGAGACATGTCAACAGTCACAAGCGAGACATTTCCTATAATTATTATCATTTTCCCAACTCTGCGCGATTGTTATTGGAATACTACAGGCTCAGTAATGCGTTATGTCAGGCACACTTTCATGACAATTGTTTCTCCATTTTCAAGTACTGAAAATTGCAACAATTTTGCATGTAGGTATTAATTGTAGAGCAATTTTTTGAATTATAAAATTCAACTCAATATATTAATTTTTATTCATGTAAAAGGAAAATATTGTTTATAAACTATTCACAAACAATAGCATCCTTGATGATATATACTGAAGTACTGAAACATGTCAACTGTCACATTTCCTACGTTATCATTTTCGCAGTAATGCGTTAAGTCAGGCACACTTTCATGGCAATTGGTTCTCCATTTTGAAGTACCCAAAATTGCAACAAAGTGAAATATAGCGGTCATGTTCAAAATTTCCTCAGACAGATTATCAATGGCCTATATTATGCTGAAGACAAGACATCTTGTTTGGTATCTCTGCAGTCGCAACATTATCGTGACACTTCATTTGATGCACTTGAAGTACTCGAACAGCAGTCATGCACAAGCGAAACATATAAATATGCGAAACATGTGAAACAAGCAAAACATGTAAAATATCTACTTCCTATGACCTAGATAAATGTTACAAGATAAATGATAAATGATAAGTTACATGCATGCTGATAAACCGCAGGCTCAGAGTTTTTAGCCGTGTAATCCAATTGCAGATCTTTGACGACCGTGTCTACATTAAACGCTGTGAGACGCCCTGGCAGGGTTTAAAGAGCCTTAAAAATAGATACGCAATGTATTAATGCATTACTATGAAAAAGCATTTACTGTAATTTATTTCTACCTCACAACACTTTCGTGTACTACGGGTTTTCGCCTCATACTGGGGACATTACTTGTTATTATATAGGAGTGCTGTGTATTTTAAATGTGATTGGTTCATTTGCAGTCACATGACTTTAAATAAATGCAATGTTTCCCGCCAGGCAAACAGGTGAAAAATTGTTGTCCGCTTCTTGTCATAACAAAGTAAAGTAGGTTTTTTTTAACTGAAATTGTTGTGTAACATGTATCTATGTTTTTGTTCCTATATAACAAAACACTTCATATACACTACCTCGGGAAATAGTGAGTTTTGTTTTCTCTCGAGTCTCATGCAATGTTTCCCTCGACTTCATCACGGGAAACATTTAGACTCTTGGGAAAACAAAACTCACTATTTCCCTCGGGAGTATAAATTAAGTGTATAATATAGCTGGGGATTTACTTTACCAAATCCTTGCCGCAATAATATTGAAGCAGAATAGTCACTTTATACGTAGAGATAGCGGTCGACACATACGTATGCTTTGAGGACATTTTTCTATATACGCATAAAATAATTATAAAGTAGTATACGTATATATATTTATATATATATATATATGCATTAAAATAACTTATTAATTAGCTTTTAGTCAAGGTATCGAATTATGGCACCTGCAAATTGATAATAGTCTATTTTAATTTTTTTGTTAGTTACTTATTTGCCACGAATTTCGTACGTAGATGAACGATGAATTTTTCTCCTGTATATTTACATTAACGATGAGAACTATATTACCTATGATAATACTCTTCCTGATTTCAAGAGTAAAGGCACAGCGTTATGGCATTTGGAACTATGAAATTATTCTCAGTGGTTAGTATCAAATTAATAGTCAAGTTAATGAAACATTGACGGTATATTCTGTTTATCGTTTCAGTTATATATTGCAAAATATACTTTCAAATTGCTTCATATTCAAATTGTCGATTGAAACCTGAACATAATTCATTTTACCTAAGATTAATGGCAACCTTTTTTAGAGATTTAACTATAATTTTAATTTTTAACTTTATTATTGAAACCTCAAGGCATTTGAAAGGTATTCAATCATTGAAATTTTAACTGTCTCTTTTATGCTAGTTTGCATATAAAGTGCACCTTTACACCGTAAATGCATGATCTATTTGCACATTTTTTACTTTGAAATTGCGAAAGAGAAAAAGAATACGGAACAGAGTAGCGTTTCACAGTGGTAAAGACGTATCTCAAGAAACAGTTTAAGAATTGAATATATAAGTGGTGTTGCGATTTTTGCATCATGGACCGCTTAAACAACAGCAAAAATATTGTCTCTATATAGTCGTGCTTTATGGGTTTGTAATCCCGACCGCATCATTGTCAATTATAATTCATAGTAGTCCCATTGAAGATCGTATGCAGATTAGCAGCTGAAAGCTAGCTTGCATGTTAGAAATATTAATTTATATCCAGCAAAGAACCCGTCTGCAAACACGATCTCCCCGACTCATAATACAAAAGTTTTAAACCACGAAAAAATGTATGCTTCCAGATGGACCTTCGTTACCTCCTGAAGAGATAATTTCAAGTCATCATCTCAAACACGATGTCCAAGTGAACTGCAACATCCTTTGCTACGAGGAAAAAAGTTGTGCTGGCTTTAATTTCAGGACAACAACTAATGATAAAGACGCAATTAACTGTCAACTTACAAACACAACAGACAGAAAAAAGAATATCGGAGTCGGTGACTGGACTATATTTCACCAAGTTATCGAGGTAGATCAATTCTGGCTGGAAAAAAATAGCATTATGAGAACAAATTGAAACATGTTTGTCCACATTTTCGAATATGCCTTTTGTTTTTTTGTCTAACTTCATTTTATTAGGTTAAAAAAAACTTTAAAAAAGTTCGGATGTGAATTTTACATCAACCACCGGTTTAGACATATTTACGACTATTACATCCGCTAATAACAGAATTAAGGACGCAACGAAACAAGGAACAAATTACACGCACTATTACTATTTTGCATGTTATACTACAATTTCTAGCTGTTCTTGTTGTTATTATAGTTTAACGTTCTGACGGATCCTAAGGCGAATAACATAATTACTGGCAATCTGTACAATAACCACACTAGTATCTACACTATAACTTTGCCCGCTGCCGATCGGTAGGGATGGAGACGGTATCCGAGCGAAACGATAGGGGTGAAACTGTGTTTCTTTGAGCTTGGTGTTCTGGACGGCGAAAATGAACTCTACGAACCAGGCTATTTAACGGAACCTCCTCCATCCCGTGATCAACTGTCACACGTGAGTCACTGACGTGAAACCGTGGAATAACGATACGAACATCAAGCACACACACAACACCGAGAAAAAAAAAAAAGGAATACCTGTAGCGATCATTAGCGAATAAACCTCTTACCCCTAACACGAACCGACGAAGAGAAAAAAAAAACTGTAAAGAACTGTGTTGAAACCTGTAAAAGACTAGCGAACGGCGAAGGTTAATAAGACGCTACTCCAGAACGAAACACCAAATCGCTAGTAGCTGTAGGGGAAAAGGGGAGGGGTGGGTCACGCAAGCAACTAACAACTAGATCAGGCGAGCTGGACCTGCATTTATACTCACCGGACGGGGCAAGTATCCGATCGGAACAGCGTCAAAGTCCCGAGACTCTACGATACGTAGACCCGTATAACGTTAACTTCCTTTATTATTTAATAATAAATACATTTAATTGAATATACTAATCTTTATAGAGGTGTAGTGACCCGTCAAACAGAGAAAGGAGAAGCGGTGTTTACAAGATAAATGCAGATGGAAATGGTAGCTTTGAAGTATATTGCGACATGAAAACATCAGGAGGGGGCTGGACGGTGTTTCAACGACGTCTTGATGGCAGTGTCAATTTCTACAGGGAATGGCAAGACTACAAACACGGCTTTGGTGATTTAAATGGGGAATTCTGGCTTGGCTTAGATAAAATCCATAGGCTTACATCAAATTCAGAAAATGAAATCCGCATCGATATGGAGGACACTTCAGGAAACACTAAGTATGCAAATTACGATTTTTTCAAAGTTAAAAGCGAGCTGCAGAGTTATACTTTGAAAATTGGAGCGTATAGTGGTAAGTTTGACAACAAGCAGTTTTAATCGCATTATTATTTCTTTGCCTTCTAAATTGATCTCACGGTTTTTTCTTGTATTTCGTGCTTTCAGTTGGATCGGTAAATTTTGTTTTCAGGTCAAGACACCTTTACTTTGTACAAGTAACAATAATTTAGGCCTGGCTAATTTATTTATATACAAACTTGTGTCGCTCATCAATAATTTAGTATGATGACGGTGTTTCGATAATTGACCATTCTAGCTAGATTTTCCAAATTTATAAATTTTGGAAAGAAATGTACAGGAAAATGCAATTTTCTCTCATGTAAAGATTTTTTGTTAAATCGGGATAAATTCTACTGCATCATAACAGTGATGTGCGATTTTTAATTTTTTTTTAATTGCTGTAATATTGCCATTTGTAATTATTTATATTATTCAGGCACGGCGGGAGACTCTCTCTCGATACATAACAGCATGGCATTTACGACCAGAGATCGCGACAATGATCTATGGCCTGGCAATTGTGCCAGGTCATTCAAAGGTGCATGGTGGTACCAGCATTGTCACAAAGCTAATTTAAATGGTATGTATCTGTATGGTTCACACCAATCGTTTGCTAATGGTATCAATTGGTGGTCATGGAAAGGACATCATTATTCACTAAAAGCAACGTCAATGAAAATCCGACCACTGGGCTGCAAAGTTGACGAGTTGGCGGTGTTTTCGTAAGGCAGCATTCTTAGAACCATCAACAGATTATAAAAGACATATATAATATGAAAAATCAAAGTTACTTACATTATGCGGGGACATTTTAAAAATATTTGCCAAAGAAAACCAACCAAACTACCCACACAGACACGTGTGATACATTATAAGTCTTACCGAGGTCTTTTTGAACAGCCCTAGCTCGAAGAGCGAGGTTTGTACAAAAAGATCGAGGTCCGATATTTCTCGGTGAAAAACGAGCGAGCAAGGTTAATAAGTTTATCATATGGCATGAGGAATGTTTTGCACTTGAAACAAACAAGAAATGCATGAATTCGTATCAATAGCCTGGTTATACACATTTGATAAAAACAAAAACAAAATAATTAATACATTAATATAATAATTGAATTATTTTGTGAACCTAAACCGTTCGGAGATGTGTTATTAATTTCAAAAGCAGTTAAATTTTTTCTTGTGCCTTTTTATTCAGAATTTCTCATTTTTTCATCTTGACATGGATCGCCGGTAACGCCGGTCCACTACGGGAAAGTGCTAGTCCATTACGAGAAAGTAATGGACCGCTAAAAATTCTTCTCGACCTATCGCTGAGCTCCATTTCACCGAAAGTGACGCTTGAATAAAAACATTTAATATAATAATTTTTGTGTTATTATTGTAATTATAATGTATAAAGATGTATAAATCTGAAATTAAAAAAAGGACCGCCCAGAGCAAAGAGGACAATTTTCCCCAGCTCCCAAATTGCTACAAGAATAAAATTAAACCATCAGTGGATAGTGTATGGTCGTCTTTCAGAAAAGATTTGGCTTATTCTTAGTTCAGGTAATGCAATAAAATTATATCCGATATTGTAAAAATCTCACCCACAAAACGCAGGAAATGAAATTTGCTGCATTCTAAACATTGAAATTTTTTTGGGGGGAGGATGCCTTGGACGGCTCAACCCCCCTAATAGTGCTCTATTCCCACAAAATATTATTTCTTAATACTTCTGTCCTGGTCATTTAAATTGGAAATCAACTGACCAGAGGTTGACAGATGACAAACTTCGATAATGTTGAAGCACCCCTGCTTACCATTAAATCATTATGCGATTGTTGAGCACGTGCTCAAGACAATAATCCGTCTTAGTATTTTTATTAGGTTGCCTGGTTTTACTTATAACGTCATTTAATTAAATATAGATGCCGTTCGTTTTAGCATTTCTCTGCATCGAGTTCCCCAGAAGTGCCAATAACTGACATATATTACACATGTTGGTAGTATTTACCGAAGAATTGTGATGAATTATCATATTTATCATAACTACATTTTATCTCCAACTCCAAGCCGTTACTTTATTACTTAGATCACCCATCTTGATTGGTCTTTCATTCCAAATCTAATTTCAATACAGTACAGTGTACACACCGTACGTGTCCCAATTATTCCTTTTAATACCTATATAGTCCTTTGCAAAGAAAGTCAAAGCATATTTTTGCCACCCTATAAAGACACTTCGACAGGTTGGTTCAAGTATTAAATAGATTTAATTAACAGAATAGTTTTAAGAGAATTATAGCAAAAATCATTCCACGATAAACATTCATGATATATAATAGGAAAACAAAGAACCTTTATACTTCATATAAGCATAAGCATGCAAGTACACTCATATGTTGACATAATTTTATACATCATGGACACAGAACTCACCTAAAATCCCGACAATTTTCGCCGCTATCGTACTCATTTCTCATTAAAGGACCATCCCTAGACGTGTGAATCTTTATCGTTACTGTATAAAGTAAAAGTTAGGATTGTATTGACTTATTCAAGCAATATTCAACCAAGATTATTTCGCACAAATATTCGAATTTTCCTCCCGTCATGGTCAAAGCTCGAAAGGCATAATGGAGTATGTAAATAATCAGGCACTTTCGCTCAGGCATTTCCTACCATGCGGGCAGGATTTCAAGGGGCAGATGTTTTTTCGTGTAGATTAAAGCTGCGTTTTACCAAACATTATAATCAACAATAATTTTTGAATAAGGTTAAACATGATACGAAGAAATTTATAATTATTAACCCTAACTGAGGCAAGATAATCCTTGATATCACTTGAAAACACTCTCTCTACAAAAGGCAGGGCGTTTTTTGGAACAGAGATCGTGATGATAATTTACCGATTTACAAAAGTGCCAAAAGATACAAAGGTTACGTTGGTACAAATGCTGTCATGATTTTAATCTGAATGGGCTGTATCTCTGTGGCTCCACAAATCGTTTCTTGATGGCATTAGCCCATGGGTTTGGAAATGCCAAGAAATATTATATAATTGGAACATAGTTTTTTTAAGTAACAGCTTAAAAAATATACCTATACGTATTTCGAAAACAGGTATAATTCATGAAGAGAATTTAGTAAAAATCCGAGGATGATGAAACATAGGTTTATAATGGTACTATTGATCGATAATTCACTGTGACGACAAAAGGTCGTAATAAAACTTTCAGCATAAACATGGTAAATAGCTTTTTACATTAAAAAATGCAGAAAAAACAAGACAAAACGTTTCTTTTTTATTTTAAACAGAATTTATTCTCAGGTTTTCACTTCTTATTTCCCGCCATGTTTAAAACAGTTTATTGCTGGGGGAATCGATTGTTCACCTGCGTCAATGTGATAAAAAGGTGCAACTATACGATTACAAATTCAGTTCTACTAAGAAGTATACTAAGAAGTAACCAAAACAAAACTAATGTACAATACTCTTTCTCAAGTATAACAAATCCTTACTTTTTTAAATCTCATCCGAAAATGACATTTATCAGCGATCGCTTTTTCATAACCTCAATTGCTCTAGCATTCAGTGACATCATTGAGTTCATCCTGAACTAATCGATCACAATTTTCATTATTGGAACTCAAAGATTTGCTAAAAGCTGATCCCTGCTTTTTTTGTCATCATCAATTCCAAGCTGAAAATTGTTTTTAAACAACTGCAAGTTTTCATTGTAGGATGCAATTGACATATTCGCAATTCAACCATATTCTTCTCACAAGTGTTCAAATTTCTGGCTCTTCCTCATAATGGCCTTTCGTCAGGCAATTCCTACCTGCGAAAAGGCTGAATTTCAACCAGTGCTATAATATCTTACTGATCCTAATTATATTTTTTTAGAGTTATAATCTCATGAAACACGTGGGATTTTTGTAAATGAAAGCTTTATTTTACCGACAATTTTTAAATAAACTTAGACATGATAAACATGTAAAGAATTATCAAGCAGTTTATTGTCATGGTACGAAGCTGAAAATTAAAGCATCCTGTCCGCAAAGTGCATAATTATATGCTTGTTTTCACAAACAGTTTCTTTCTCTACCTGATTTCAAGCTCCTAAAACTGCGGATTATTTATTTGACTAAATTTGAAAAGTATAATTTTCTAGAAATTAGAAACTACGATAACAAGCTGAGTTGTACTAAAAAGTAAACTAAAAAAAAAATTAGTAGACTTATTATAGCTAAACATGCATAATGAATTGTAAAATGACTGTTGTCAATAATCACTTTTTCAAAACCTCAAATGCTCTAGCATTCAGTGACTTTATTGAGTTCATCTTGATCTATTAGCTCACATCTTTCATCACTTGCTTTGACAGTTTTGCTAACAGCTGATCCTTGATTCTTATTGTCGTCACCAATTCCAGAATGTGAATCTTCTTTTGAAACCAACTGCAAGTTTTCATTATCATGGAATGTTCTTTGTGATCGTCTACGTCGTCTTCGTATCAATATTACCAGCAGTATTATTCCAAGTAGTAAAATTAGACCAATAATAATGTAAGCAAAGTTCGGAAATCCTGATTTCCGGTGAAGAATTTCTTTTTCTGCTAGTAATAATGATCAATGGAAAAAAGTTCATTAATGTACTTATTATACCTTATGCTAAGAATTGCAAAAACCTACCATTGCAGAACAAACCATTTCTAGTGTAACCAGCCTTACATTGACATATGAAACTTCCCCAAGTGTTAATGCATTTAGCAGTAAAGCCACAGTATTCAGAAGCATCCAAACATTCATCTATATCTGTGTTAAATAATGCAACCAGAGTATTAGAGAAAATGTTCATTTTTGCACCATTGGATGCATAATTTGCACAAAAGAGCAAAAAAACCGAAACTATAAATTTTCGACCGAAACTATAAATCATATTGTAAAGTCAACTCGCTCTTCATATTAATTACACACCGTTTGAAGTACATTCTACTGCAGCATCTTTTTCACAGGTGCGGCCATGAACGCCAAATTCTCGTATTTCGTGAGCACAACTAAACAGATTTTGCTCATACCCAGCACAATCAACGTCGTCTAACCAAATCCGCCTGGGGCGAGAGGGAACGCGTCTCATTTCAAAAGCTCTAACAGCATACAAATAGCCAAGTTGATGACATGCAACATGAGCATCATATATATTCCAATTATAGTCACAAACTGTTCCCCATTCTCCATTATGGAATACTTCCACACGACCAGTTCCGTTTGAACCTAATGGTCCTTTTAACCTGATATCTTTTCCTGTAAAGGAATTTATCAGTCACTGTGTTTTTTTTTGTAATTTTAAGAGGGTTTTAGAGTTTGCAAAGGTTTAAAACGATGGCAAGCTATATGAAATTGTGTAATACGTCCGACTACAAGAGCCTATTAAGGCTACATTCTTAATATGTTGAACACTTCCTCGCTCCCAATAATGATATATCGTGGGCCTGAAGACTTTTCAGGATCCATGCTTCATTTATTCTTCAAATAAAAATTTTGCATGGTGCATGCATGTTGCGAATGTGGTTTGTTGAGAAACCGACGCACAAGAAAGACCCAACCGCACTACGCGGGAATTTTACCCTCAACAAGCAAAGTTCGTAGGAACTTTCTCGAGGCACAAGTAGGAGATGCATTTCCGTCAAAGGGCCCAGTAAAATGTTGAATGACTTTATATGATTCCAATATTAAATCAAGACCTTTCTTTACCTTTACAATCAGTTCCATTTCCAGGTTGTTCATCGTCACAAATACATTCATAAGATCCATCTGTGTTGTTGCAGGTTGAATTAGGAAGGCAGTTGTCGGTAGTTAGGAAACATTCGTCTATATCTACAACGGATGTGTTATCAAATATGTTATTCATTACTCGTGGAAAAAAATATCTGCCGTTTAGCATTTCCATGGTGAATCATGAAACACGAGGTAACAACGGAACTCGTTTGTGGCGGCAAGATGCGTGATTTAAAAAAAACATGTGTTATAACAATAAATGGCGGGTGGTGGTGTCTACAGGTAAGTGCATGTATCTTTCTTAAACAAGTTGCAATCAGTGGATGCTTTTGATGTTGAGGTACTATATTTCCCTTTCCCTAACGGCCATGGTTAGGTTCAATGGCGTAGAAAGCCTGACGATTTTGTCCCACTATGTAAATTTCGAGTTATTATAATTATTCATTTCTTTAGAAATTGATGGTTTTCACTGTCAATGATCACCAGAATATTAGCATAGCGGGACAAATCGTCAGGCTAGCTAGTGGCTACGCTACTGGTTAGGTTTAAATCACACAAACGGTGGATTATAAGATGAGAATGTATCTTTGCCAACTAATTTTGAAAACTTTGTTTGATAATTATTGCTTTATAATTATTGTGTTGTAATAAGAAAAAAACCTTAAAAGACGACTTACCAAAGCAATAAGTGCCACTTCCAGTATAACCTTGATTACACTCGCATGAAAAACCACCAACAGTGTTAATACACCTGGAATTTTTGTCGCAGTTGTCCATTTTCAAAAAACATTCATCGATATCTAGGATAAGAATAATTTAATAGGATAATAGGATAAGGATACATTTTGATAGATACATTTTTGATAGACACATTTTGATAGATACATTTTGATAGATACATTTTGATACAAACATTTTTATGCATACATTTTGATAAATACATTTTGATATAGATACATTTTGATACATATGCCTACATTTTGATACGTACATTTTGATAGATACATTTTGATACGTAAATTTTGATGATTATAGACAGTTTATCTTGTCATGATTGACGTCGATTGCGGTTGTTTTTGTCATAGCACTCATATATAAGCATAAAACAACGACAATTTTTCAAGACAGCTTGTTTCGACGTTACTATAAGCAATCTTTAGTGCGAATGAAATAATTATTTTCATAATCAATTAAGTTAGAAATATGATACACGCAAGGTGATACTCTATGAATAACGTTTTCGGGGCATTTTTAACTGCACTCTTTATTACAAATTAACATCCCTCAAAATCATAATTGCATTGCAAGTTTCAAAAAAGTTGCACAATGTAACAGCGCCTTAAAGTAAGAGCAGGTGTAATTAGTTTTGCAGTTAGGTTTTTGTCGATGTTTGAGTAGATGTGCGAGTTCTATTAACAATTATTACAATATAGATTTGGAGTACATTTCAGATCAAGATCGGTGCTAATTATATAAGTAATAAGTTGTTAATCAGATGCCTGTTTCAGCGTTCCACTCCTGTCAACGCAAATCTTGTGAACAATTCATATTCATTTAGAAGCTCACAAAACGGCGCTTGTGCACTCTTTTTTTTGTCACATAAGTAATCTTTCTTCATTTAACTTTTTTTATTAGATAAATGCTTGACTAATTAAATTTTTTCTATAATTTTTTTTGAATTTGGATTTCCCGGCTATGCATATTCGTCCCGATTCCCGTGCAGTTTCTAAACACAGGATTATGTATCGTCTGACATATTCGTCTAGTTAGTTTGTCCACTTAGTCTTGTGCTTATATTCAAACAATCGGGCCAAAAATAACAAGAGAAATAAACAACCCGGCCGGTCATTTTTTAACTCCGTTTCTTACGCCGGAATAATCATAGGTTACCCGAAAATTTTTTTTTTCATGCCATTAATCCACAACTAGCGTTCTGATCCGTTATAATTTGCATTACATGAAGTAGCGCACGCACACATAATTAAAAAATTTCAATGTAATGCAATTTAATGCAAATTATAACGGATCAAAACGCTAATTATGGATCAATGCTATGAAAAAACACATTTTCGGGTAACCTATGGAGTAATTAGTTTTTGTGACACTCACCTAAACGCAGTGTCACCGTGCTCTTCGGTCTACCACAATTTGACAAAATAGGGAAACTTTCCATGTTAAGTTTGCCATGATATTCCTGAGCACTAAGGCACAAACCCTGATCATCATTCGTTGAAACATCTTTTAAATATTTCCCGGTAGAATTGTAAAACCACCTTGGTCTTGCATTTGGTCCATCACAATCGTGAGTGAGAAAAACAACCCACCATGACCTTAAGATATGAAGACATTTTCCAGTCTTCAATTCCTGCAGAACGTTTCGATTTATGAAACGAAAATGGGCTGGTGTACGAGTCCATGAAAATTGAAGAAGATCGACGTTTTGGTATGTAAAATGGTGCAAATATCCAAAGTCAACTGATTTGACAAGGTATGTATTGTAGCCAGGCTGAGCTAAATTGAAATAAATACCATACGAATTAGTAAGCAAATGATGGCCATTTATGCATAAATTTGCATTATATTTTACAAATTACATCGTAATGGTTACAATGAAAAGTATAGAGAGGTATCTAAGCTAGGGGATCTAATTCACAAGATGTCCTCTCAATGGAAGTCACTAAAACATTTTAATTCATTATGGTTCATAATTGTATTGTAAAACAAGGAGCGTCGACAGACGTGAATTTTAGATAACTGCGAAAGTAGTTTTGCAAAAAAAAAAACAGGATGGACACAGTCCCTTCATCCCGTCCCTGCCAATAATTATATTTCATTATACATGCAATATGCAGTGTTTTATTGGCGAGCCGCAATTTTGAAAAGCAATAATAAGATTTGAGATTATTCACGATATCTCAGTTCTCAACACTGGAACAAATTATATTTTTCCACGCGTTGTTTTGAAAAATCTAGTGATTGCGATATCAGCGGAATATTAACGGAAGTCAATGGCCCTAAATTCTAACATGGCGCCACCCAGAATAGCAATAACTGCAAAATGTAAAGGACGTATATTCATCTTGCACTAACTTTCAACGAAAGTAGGTAAGAATGAATTGCTGCAGGGAGTTAAATATCTATGACGATAATTTTTCAGGATTGCTTGCTGCTGCTTTGACGTGCTTTAGTACTGGACACAAATTGATTACAGTTGAACAATTTTTCCAATGTCGTTGTATTATAGCCAATTGTTAATATTGCCTTTCTGATATCACTCAGCGAAATGCAACTGGGTTCAAAAAATGATTAGAAATAATAATTGATAAAATGAAATTTGCAAAACTACCTTGGCAAGTTGATCCATTTCCAGCATGTTGATCATCGCATGTGCATAGATAAGATCCGTCGGTGTTGGTACAATTTAATCCTTGTAGACAATTGTGAGGAGACAGAGCACATTCATCTATATCTGAAGACATTCAGGACATAATTTTTTCTACCATTTCAGCTACAATTCTGGCTTCTATCATTGTAATCCCATGCATGGAAATATTTTCACATATTTTTCACGTGGTGTAAGTCGTATAAAGGCCGTGTTACACGATGATGATTTGCTTGCAATATGCAATGCGATTCTACTTTTGAGAGAAGTCATTTTGGCAACCAGGAATCTTTTGTGTCGTTATTTGTAATTTCACGGTATCTCAAATAAAGCGATGCTTTATACGAAATAACCTTAACCACCGTTAGTAACGTCAGCATCCTTCCACAACAATCTTAGGCAATTTTTGCTCCTTTTGCTGATTTCTAGGTACAGCATTCTCTTTAAAATAACTATTTTATTAAGCTTTCATTTTGACAAATACAACTGGGCGCCATTTTACGAAATCCGATTAGGCACGTGTTTATCGTCTAACAATGCGTCGTTAGGGCATGGCCAGAATTTGCATTAGTTAATTACTTTACTAAAAATGATTATACATGATATACCTTCACACACTGTTCCATTTCCAGTGTATCCCACATCACACATGCACGAAAAAGATCCAATCGTGTTAACGCAAGAGGCTTTCGTATCACAGTTGTTAAGTGCACACTGTGATATCTAGGATTGAATTACATAAACTTAGACTCTTGACTTTCTTTATATATGGCTATAGATAAATAGTAGAAACAAACAGGTTTTATCTGATTCGCAAAATTATTGTTACACCATCACACGGAAAATTGAATCGATCATGTATTTTCACGTTGTGGTGTGATATCTTCTGCATGTCAAATCAGCAGGTGATGGAAAAGAAATATTTGGTTACAAGTATACAAAAGCTCCATTTTTTTTCCTATTTGGGCTTTGTAGAATAACAACAAGTTGAGAACAAAATTTAAAGCTGTTGCCCAACCATGAAGAAGGTTTTCCCTGGACGAAAACGACAACACGATAACGAAAGCTATTAATTTGACAAGTAGAGGTACGTTTTGACTTACGAAAAGTAGAAGAGAATTAGCGATTAGGAACTTACCAGTACAATTTCCATTTTCTCTTGTATAACCTTGAATACATAAACATAAATATCCTCCAAATGTTTTTTTACATTGTGAATTACTGCCACACGTGTGCCCTCTTAGGGCACATTCATCAACATCTAAATGGTTAAACAGAAAGTGGTCAAAACATACAGACAATCCGAGAAAAATTCAGACGTATAAGGTACCGCAACTTAAAATTTTCCCGAATACTTCATATAATTATCTTTTTTCATGAACTTGACAATACTCTTCATGCATAATGCCAACGAGCATTTGGTGAAAATTTCATTAAAAATGGACTTATATTAAGTGGCAATTCTCCACGGAATGCCATTAAATGTGTCCTGTAAGCTTAAAATTGAAAATTTGATGAAAATGTTCAATTTTAAATGGAAGTGCATGTTATATGAAATTATGTAACTCATATACATGTAATAAATAATTCATGGCAAAAAATGGCAATTATGCAGTAACTATAAAAACAATATATTTACACCACACTAGCGATTCTGTGCTACTATTTCATCATATACGCATGGCAAGTAAGCTCAACCCATACACGACCTGAGTTAAGAGAAGATATAATATTTCAGTATCCTTGTGGGTTCATACCTTGGCAAAGAGTCCCAGTGTATCCAGCATTGCATATGCATTGAAAAGATCCAATAGAATTAATACATCGACCGTTGAAACCACAGGAAATGGATCGACATTCATCGATATCTACGAATGAAATTAATGACGTGTTGATTTACGAATAAGACGCCAGCCCTTTTTTATTGAATGACAGGAGTGTTAGAAGTTACCTTAAGTTTAGGCCTGCAAGAGGGGAGTCATTGAAAAGTTCGCATTTATTTCACTGAAAATATTTCACGGTAAAAACTACACAGCATGAACAGACTTAACAGGTATACATAGATTTACAGGTCCACATGCAGAGGATGATACATTTGGATTAGTTTTAATGCGAAAAAGACGCATGCATGATAATGGCGACTTGCGCTTTAGACTAATTTTTGATGGAAGTAACTAGAAGAAAATAAATCATCACAGCTAGAAAGATCTTACTTAAATTAGTGCAAATGCAAAGTTTGGCTGCGAAATGTTGTAAAATAGGGAAAATATAGCCACGCGAAGTTGGCAAATTTTGTATACTTTTGTATTACGACCGGAAGTGTGTAACTAATTTAGTTACACATTTCCGCACGTAATACAAAAGTATACAAAAATCGACAACTTCGCATGGCTATATTTTCCGTATTTTACAAAATTTCGCAGCCAAACTTTGCATTTACACTAATTTAAGTAAGATCTTTCAGAAAATGTCCTTTTTATCGCCGAGGTAAAAAATTAGTCGAAAGCGCAAGTCGTCCATTCTCTTTGATAATGCATGTAGATTTCAACAATGCTAATAATTATTAATGAGCCAGAAACATGATGGCAGAATCGAATTTTTATTAGTTTACACTTTTCTTCGTAATATTTTCATTCTTTGATGGTAAAAAAATCAATTAACTACTTATGTCCCTCCATCGCTAACAATTTTTTTGGGTAAGGGTAAGAAAGGGTAAGAAATAAGAGTAAAAGAAATGTCCATAATTATGTCCACATACGAGCACAAGAACAAAAATAGGAATTTTAACAAAAATATTTTTTTCCATGGAACTGCTTAGTGAAGTTTAGGACGATTTCAAACTTCAGATTTTATTTGGGCATGAAATGATATCGCTTTGTTTACTAGTTTCAAAATGGTACATGTCAAAGATGATATGTTACAGGTACATTACTCACCATGGCACCTGTTTCCGGCAAAGCCTAGGCCTGGGTTACATGAGCATGTAAACCCAGCATCAGTGTTTTTACAATGAGCATTTTTGGGACAATCAACCATTCCCGATGAGCAGTAATCAAAGCCTGTAAAAAACACAGAACCGTAAAATGTTCAGTAATTTAATCTAACCAATTTGCTGGAAGTCACTATAATTATTTAAACTTTTACAGCTTTATATATTTATTATTCAACAAATTTGTTTTTCAAGAAGTCTGTAATCATAATCTATGATTCGACTTATGTGAAATATTTTTTGAATATTAAAAAGTATATCACGAAATATTTTATGCTCGACCATGCAATACCATTATGTACAGCAAAACCCATAGTAAAGTAAAAAAACAAATTCCGAAGGAACAGGACATCTTGAGAGTCAAAATATGAATCAAGACACAGGTAGGAACTGTATCTGCATGTGACGTTTTCTTGCTTGATTCATATTAATTTAGACTCTCAAGATGTCCTGTTTATTCGCAATTGTCCGGTGTTAATTTTACCTTTTACTAAACAAGCAACTCCAGCATCTCCCCTGTAGCCGCAGTCATGTTTCCCCCAGCCCCGATGCGAACAACTGAATACACTGTCCTCATTTCCAGCACAATTAACATCACCCAACCATATCTTTCTACGACTAAAAACATCGTTACTGCGAATATCTGCAATAGCATCGATGTAACCAAGTTGACGACATGCAACACGAGCATCATTTATATCCCAACGGTCACTACATACTCTTCCCCAATCTCCATTATGGAATACATCCACACGACCAGCACCACTTGAACTAAATGGTCCTTTCAACCTGATACCTTTCCCTAAAGTTTTATGGCAAAGAAAAGACGCCAGGATATAATTCAGTTTATTTTTTTAATCAAAGTTTGTTTAAAGAATATTAAATTTGGAAATATAGACAGGACAAGATTGATACAGGTCATTATAATAAAAATATTAATCTTGAAAAAAATTAATTTACATTTAGCACTTAAACTGAAATAAAAAAAATGTTCATACAGAAAGTATTAAACTTGAAGTTTGCAATATTATTTTAGTTGTAATTCACGTTAATCTATGGTGTACCTGGTAGACAAATCCCATTTTCATTGAAACAGCATTCATAAGATCCAACAGTGTTTTTACAGTTTGAAGGATAAGGACAGGTGTATATATTTAGAGAACATTCATCGACATCTGAATTGAAGAATGTCTTCAGTTTATCCAACTATCACTTCTACTGAAAGATTATTCAATGATTTTACATGCAAGGTTTATTTTAGAATTCGAAATAAGTGCTCACCGTCACAGACAGTTCCGTTTCCTGTGTATCCATTATTGCATGTACATCGATAGGATCCGGGGGTATTGGTGCAAAAGGCTTCCGATGAACAGTTGTAAGATGATAGACATTCATTGATATCTGGAAATAAATTTGCAAATAAAACATTGCTAATGCTCAAAAGCTCAATCCCACTCACACTTATTGAGTGAAACAATAAGAAAGTTATTTCTTAAACAATGAAAAGATATAAAAACAAGTCAACCGCCAAAAAAAGTCAACCGCCATGGAAACGTTATGAAAAGATTTTCAGTGTGGGTGATTTAGCTTTTGGAATGCTTTTAGTAAAAGTTGTTATACTGCATGCATTATTGCTTAATTTGTTTAAGGCAGTCCCGGAGAACACTGCTGAGGAGGATCCAGCGATAAATTTCTGAAGCACAGTTTAAAGTATCCATAAAACGATCATGCATGCTGTGTTTATTTCGAAATTTCAAAGAATATTTCTATTACGTTATCTAATGTTAATCCTTATGAGTTGTTCTATTTATTCACTAACGTCGAGTCCTCCACTTCAGCGTGAAGCGATTTTTGCGTAAAAGACACAAGGTAAATATCAAGAACGTTAAAACTAAAATCAGCGTTATGTACCTTAGGATCTACGTTAGGATCTACGTAAAGCCTGTTTTCCACTAGGCGGAATTTTACCCGCGGAGCGGAATTTTTAATTGTCTGCGCGCTTTCACGCAGAGCTAATGTGAGAAAAACAAAGAAAAATTCCGCTCCGCGAGCAAAATTCCGCCTAGTGGAAAACAGGCTTTAGGTCATTGAGATTTCGACTTTCGGAAAAGCGACAGCTAGTATGCATTTGAAATTGAAGTTTTTTTCTATCGTATTAAACTATAATATTATTTTACTCACCGTTGCAAGCAGCACCATTTTTGGTATAGCCTTGATTACAGCTGCATGCAAACCATCCATTGGTGTTGATACATTGGGAATTCCTGCCACAATTGTGAAATGCCATGGAGCAATAATCAACAGCTGTGAACAATAATAAATACAAAACTCTGTGCAAAAATAAAATAAGGAATTGTTGACTATAGACATAAATTTTCGTGTGCAAAAAACAAAGAAAGATGATGAGAAATAGAAATTTCTTAAATCAACGTCAATCAGTTAAAGTATAGTAGTGAAGGAACTACACGGATTCGAATAACTGATTTTTTTATAGACTATACAGGCAATTGATGCTCTACTGATTCAAATTGGAGAAGTTCCTAGTCAACTATGCAGATGATAAATGCTTTAATTCAAATCCTAAAGAGACAGAACTAAGAAAAAAAAATCCGGGTAAATTTTGCCCACCAGATTCTTGGATGTATTCAGGAGACCCAACGTTTATCGAAACTTTAAATGTGACATACGGATGAAGTTTCATTTTAAAAAACGTACCTCCAGAGGAACATGCTACTCCAGCATCTTTAGAATGGCTGCAGTCATGGCGTCCCCACCATCGAGAAGAACAACTGGACAGTTCTTGCTCATTTCCAGTGCATCTAACCTCATCTAGCCATATTTGTCCTGAACCAGGTGGAACTTGGCCACTACCCAGAGCTCTGAGAGCATTCCGATAACCAAGTTGACGACAGGCCACTCGAGCATCTCTTATATCCCAATTATCATCACAGATTGTTCCCCATTTTTTATTATAGAAAACTTCGACACGACCAGTACCATTTGAACTTAACGGACCTTGTAACCTGATGTGTGGCTCTAATAATTTGGACGAAATAATTGGGAGAAATTAGAGGCCGAATGCGTTATTGTATACTGTAATTGTGCCATGATAAAAAAAAACAATCGCATACTATATTAACGATAGTATAGAGAAAAATGTAATAGGAAGCCATTCTAGCAGAAAACGGACTTCAGGCTCTATTTATCTGGCTTAACGATATTTCTAGCCTATTTCCATGATGCGTTCGCACAAGACCATCTTGTCACTTTGATATATTACAAAGGTTTCGAACTCTCACTAATAGAATGTTACAAATATAAAATGCTCTTAAAAATCTTAATCTATACACTTATACGCGATAAACACGTATAGCAAAAAGAAGACATAGTATGGATAATTTTACTACAAATTTTCGTGTTTTTAAAAAACACGAAAACTTTTACAAAACCTGAAATTAGCGAGAGTTTAGAATTCTTTTGTAGGTGTCTGCAGACATGGTTTTTTTTTCAAAACCCATCCTAGATCAACATCGATCGTTATTATTTTCCATGCAAAGTTTTTACCTACTGGCCATAATTTAAAGAAAAATATTCTCAACGCCATATCAAACCATTCGTATATATAAATTGTTTCAACTACCTCTACAAATCAAGTCTTCGCAACAAAGATAAGTTCCAACTGTATTGGTACAGTTTGCGTTTTTAGGACAGTTATAAATTGTATCAGAACATTCATCAATATCTAAAGAGAAAGTAGATTTACCTTTATATGAACAAGTAATAAAATAAATTAGATTTGTTTGCAAAACACAAAATGCTTGATTCTATTATTTGATAACAAAGTATACAAGTACCTTGGCAAACACTTCCATTTTTAATGAATCCACTTTTGCAATAGCATCGGTAGAATCCAGGAGTGTTGGTGCAAAAAGCGTTGGAATGGCAGGCGTTTGGAAATGAACATTCATTAATATCTAAGATGAATATAAGTCCGACAATGATGAAAAATATTTAAAGAAACCTAGAACGTCAAAACATAAATATTCCATGATTAAATCATCCAAAAACTGTGTTCTGTCACTGAAGAAAACATTAAAGAAAATTAATGATGCAAGTAACCACTACAGAAATCATTTCTAGTATCTGTCATTAGAAATGCCTATACCTATCTGCACCTTTGCTTATCTGGTTATTGTCGGGTAATTTTAGTCATTTGAATACAGGACGTTTTCGAAATTTACAAAATTTTCTGAAAGAGCTTACTAATATTTGTAAGACTGGCTGTGTTTGGCTGGGAGTTGTTTTAAATTACGGAAAATATAGCAATGCGAAGTTGACGAATTTTGTATACCATTGTATTACAGTCAGAAGTTTATAATTAATTTAGTTACACATTTCTGCACGTAATACAAAAGTATACAAAATTTGCCAATTCGTGTGGCTATATTTTCCTTATTTTACAAAATTTCCCAGACAAAATTTGCATTTGCACTAATCTAAGTAAGGTCTTTGTAGCTGTGGTGATTCATTTTCCTCTAGTTACTTCCATCAAAAATTAATCTAAAGCGCAAGTGGTGCATTATATTGGAGAAAAATTCTTTTTTTTTATAAACATGCAGGCTTGTAATTAAAAATATTAAAAATATAATGCTACTAGTGGTGGACATTTATTTTTGTCACTTAGTTACTAACCATTGCAAAAAACACCGTTGCCGGTATAGCCTGGATTACATTTGCATGAAAAACCACCAGTTTCGTTAATGCATCGAGCACGACTGTTACAGTTGTGCAGCCCCAATGTACAATAATCAACATCTATATGGACGACAAAATTAAAATTATAAATAGCGCAGACAATCGCCAGACAATCGCGATTTTTTTCAATAGTTCCAATTTGTTAAAAGAAGAGGGAAAAAAGAGGATTCAATTGCTCTACAGCGACGTAACTAGTTAGGGGTACACTACAACAGATTTATAATTTATACTGTTTTGAAAAATATAAAGGGTATAATCTAAAACTTTTCCTAATCGATCCTAGGTATCTTTTCTCTTCAAAATATATAAAGAAAGCTATATAATTTAACAAAAGGTTAATAATTAGGGTTTTACCCTAGCAAACAAAAGTGTTCGATTGGTTTATTCTATTGTTTCATTGTTCTATTGTATTGTTCTCTATAATTCATGAAGATATGCAAAACCTGTATTATAGTTTCTCTTAGCGACTAAAAAATATTATTCCCCTTTTCAAAACGATATCTCAAAAAATAAAAAAGCGAACATGGCAAAATTCGAGGACAGAGCATAAACACTTTTGTCTTTGTGCGATAAACGAGTATTAGCGATAGATTTTGTAATAAACTATTATTATTTTGTCAATTTTTATTTCTTCCAGCAACTAGGCAAACATTTTTAAAGCTAAATAAAAACAATTTCATCATTACAGATTCAAATTTGATTTGTTACCTATTTAAAAAAAATCTTTTTCAATCATTGGGTTGTGTAGTGTTCCAACTATGGGAAGTTGACATTCTTAAAACTCATTTTTCATTCAGAATAACTTGTTATAACTAATAATTTTGTTCCCCCATGTAGCGTAACCCTGTTGTAGAAGATAGGTCATTGAAACCAACGCCAATGGGAATGCGTTATATATGGTTCTACCTGAACGTGATTCAATAACACGAATCTTTTGATCACGATCCACCGACATTGAAATGGATTTTAAAAATATTTACAGTATCTGTAATATTAGATCAGTTATCTTGCAAACATATCTGTCAAGATAAACTCTTTTACCCTACATAAAAGCAAGAAATTCTGCCATGATACTTTTACTTTTAATGATTTTTACATTAATTTTACCCTAGATGTTAAATTATTTTTTACCTTCAGAAGAACATTCCACTCCAGCATCTTCAGAATGTCTGCAGAGACTAAATCCCCATCCTCGAGAGCGGCGAGGACAATTTTCTACATTTTTCTCTTTTCCCGTGCAAGCAAGCTCGTTCAACCAAATCTGTCCTGAACCAGAAAGAACTTGCCCTCCTCGAAGAGCTCTGAGCGCACTCGGATAACCAAGTTGACGACAGACCACTCGAGCATCATTTATGTCCCAATTATGATCACAAATTGTCCCCCATTGCCCGTTATGGCGCACTTCCACACGACCAGTACCATTGAAACTTGACGGCCCTTGTAATCTGACAGTCATCTCTGAAAAATTAAGATTGACAATTAATTTTCACACAAAAGAACACAAAAATATATCTCAGAACTCGGTAGATCTTCAGGGATTTGACTGTCCGAGAAGTCCTACACAGATCATACCGGGTTTTTTCTCTCACGGACACCCCGGAACTATGCAAAGTTAAAGAGGGGCAGATGGGTGAAAAGGCATTTCTGCGCAATTTACACACTTGTAAAACATTGTCTGTTGAATTTTGATAAATTTTCACCAGACGATTGTGTTAAATTTTCACCAGACGATAGTGTTATTCTTGATGCTCATTGGAATTAAGGTATACACTGAATGCAATGGTTAAAATGAAATCCACTGCTGGTAAAAAGGAGTTGACCCTGCTGCCACCTGCGGCGTCCGCACTTTCTCAGCCAGTATAATATGCAAAATTAATATAAATTTGCACAAATCTTTTTTCTTATGTTAAACGCGAGTAATGCTGAAAAAGTCAAAATTCACTTTTCTCTAAATTCAATTTGCTTCTTAAGTGTAGAAGGTTATAAATTTTATCACTATGGAGCACATTTGCTTCTTCGAAGGGTATGATTCTATGCCTTTTATTTATTTACCTTGGCAAGTAACATTACTTCCATCAGATTGTCTAAAGCAACATTCATGCGAGCCAACAATGTTTCTGCAAGTTTCAATTGAAGGACAGTAGTGCGCGGAATGGGAACACTCGTCATAATCTAAGAAGCATTTGGAAAATTATTATTAGAATATTAAATGATTATAAAATTTTCCTCTTCATCGTGTTTAGTCTTTACATTTTTTAAAACGTCGCGGTAACTACACACAGATTACTGTATATAGTCTAGCTTGAAAATGATTATTTTTCTGAAAAGTCGAGGTGAAAAAATACCTTCACAAACAGTTCCATTTCCAATGAATCCACTTTTACATGTGCATCGGTAAGTTCCAGGAGTGTTAGTGCATGAAGCGTTTGAATGACAGATGTGAGGTGATGAGCATTCATTGATATCTAGGTTGAAATTAATAAATCTGCCACTTAATATAACGAAAAGTTTAGACTAGCTTTGCTTTGCGCACAACATTTAGAAGCGATTTCTTCTTATACTCTTAAACATTCTACATGTTATGATTGAACATAAATTATCTCATTTAAGCATGTTTGCATTTGCAGGGTAGTGAGCTTAAGACCACGAAATCTACGACGTGAACGTGACATCAAAACAGTCGCTAATGTTTGCACATCTTCGTCTGAAATATCTTATCATCGAGACAAGACGGCCATAACTGAGTAATATATAGCTTCAGTTTCCTGTATATTTACAATTTAAACCTTTTCTACATTCCAATATATAAAATTTTGATTTCTTTAAGGCTCAGTCTTTGAAGTATTTTTCAGTTAGATTTTACGCGTTTTATACTTTTTTTGCAATCATGCATGAACGATTATTCGGTGGAAGTATACATGCATTACAAACCATTGCAAGAAAAGCCAGTTCCAGTATAACCTTGATTACATTTGCATAAGAAGCCACCACCAACAGTTGTAATACACTCAGCATTTCTATGACAGCTGTGTAATCCGCTGGAACAATAATCAACACCTAAAAACAATGTTGAATGTGATGTAAAATTTTGAAAGCCAAATAAGGAAGCAATATATTAATAAAAAATATAAAATGTTGAAAGGAATATAAATAATAATAATCAATGAAATAAAAAAGCAATGGGCTGTAAGACATATATCAGATAACAAAAGCAATAAAATTATATTGAAAGCAATGTAATATTGAAACGGACATAAGAAATATAAAATGGTTTTAATTGAGCATTTTATAAAGCCCTGGTCAAACGAGAATGATAGTTGATGTGAGTTGATGAGAGTTGCAAGTCTCGCTTGCGTTTGACCGCGAACTCTCATACACTCTCGTGCACTCTCATCAACTCTCATCGACTTTGAACTGGTTCAAATTTTGATGAAAGTTGATGAGAGTTGATGAGAGTTTGGGCGCGTTTGATCGGTCATGAGAGTTGATGAGAGTTGCAAAAGCGCCAGCGGTTTGCATTTCGTAGCAGACTAGACTCTGACTAGTGACAGAACAATAGTGCAAAATGTTTGGAAAACTCTCGTGCGAACTCTCGCTTCTCAACTCTCATCAACTCTCATTTTCCCTTCACCAGGGCTTAACCCTTGAATGAATTCCGCGATCACTATTCACTGAGATCCTTCCTCGAGTACTAGTCAACCGCCAAATCAAAACTGAACTATCTCATTAAACACCAGGTAACACCGCTGATTGAGGTCGTGGAAAAGTTAGAAATTAAAATCGGTAAATGGTAATTGAGACAAAGTCGAACACGAGCCTTGAATACGAGATTCGAAACTATGATATACCCAGCGCACGGTGCTACAGCCAATCAGATTGTATGAAAGACTGAAATTCGTCACTACTAATCGCAGAAAACAAAATGACTTGTTTTAAACGAGTAGCCGAGGTCAAATATTTCAAATATTGAGATGTGTGGGAAGAATTACTACTTATATGTGCGATATTAAATTAAAAGACCAGCGACCAGACCAAAAACAATGTATAGTTACGAGCACTGTAAATATGGTGACAGTAAGTGGCATTAGCTATAAGTTATATAACAAGTACAGAGGCCGGTTGTATCAAGCCCGTTTAGCTTAAACGGTGGATAAGTAAATTTAGATAACACGCTTACATCTTTCTTCAATGAATCAACTTGAATACTATGCACTGAATATGTAGTTGTAAACAGTGTATTTGTATTAAGGTTAGAAACATTCAGTTTGCTTCTTGAATAAAACCATAGACTTGCTCTTTATCTTGAACTTAACCACGATTAAGCTGAACGGGCTTGATACAACCGGCCCTGATTGTTAATCTAACCTCTTAAGGCACATTCTACTCCAGCAACTCTATAATAGTGGCAGTTATGATCTCTCCAGTCAATACCAAAACAACTAGATAAATGAGTCTCACGACCAGTACAATCAAGCTTGTCTAACCATATTTTTCCGTAGTCACGGGGTACTTCACGAGGGGACAATGCTCGAATAGCACCAGGGAAACCAAGTTGACGACATGCCACTTGGGCTTCTCTTATATCCCAATTTTCACCACAGATTCTTCCCCATTGTCCATCATGGAATACTTCAACACGGCCAGTATTTTTTGAAATTATTGAACCTTTTAACTTTATAGAGGGTTCTGTAAAGAAGTTCAAGTGATTTGAGGAATGTTTTAAATATCAGTAAGGCCCAACATTACATCGAAATCACAAGACAGCACAAAATTCCCAAAAGTATTTCCTTGTCGCTATTTTTAAATTTTCGAAATATTTCCTTGTTCACAATACATAAAGTTTTCATTGTAGTAAATTTCAGTAAAATAGCTTATGATATACATAAGAAATTTGTACCCGATTTAGGATATTTTTCTGTACATGTTTTCATAAGTTTAGAGTCCCCCTAGGCTCCCTCCGGGGCTCGAACAGCTAATGTCGCACCTTATCATCAACTTAGATGAATGTTTATAAATAATTTTTAGAATAAACAGCTGGTGTTTGGTTAACTCCTCAGCAGGTAGCCTCCCTCGCTCACCGAAACCACACAAGATCCAACTCTGTTTGCCGCATTTGTTATAATGGCCGACTATTGATCATAAAATGAACGCATTTTGTGCACAAAGGCGGGGCCATCCAGACGATTATGTGGGTCCAAACATTTCTCGGAAAATAGAGCAAATGATTTTTTTGCACGTGTTTATGTTCATCTCGTATTTATACTAGTCGGCAGTAGTCACACTTAGCCACAAGACGTTTAATAATTCGTCAAGATGTCTAACCCGTCTTCTATATGTGTCATGCATGCTCTATAGCATGGAAGTAAAACTTCAAATTACGCAAGAAACCTTGACGTAATAAATTATGATAAGTGGCAACATTTAAGCAAGTCAATCATGCATAATGCGATGCAAAATGTGACCTTTCTAAAGGCCCTGTTACACGGTGCAATTTTTCTTGCAACTTGCAATGCAAATTCCGCTTTTGAGAGATGTAAATTTGGCCACTACGAAATTTTAATGTTTATTACAAACTCCATGTACGTGTCTTACACTTATACTACATTTTGAATACTCTGTACGTAAGTAAGATTGCATTGCAAGTTGCGAGAAAAATTGCACGTGTAACACGGTCTTTAGAGGTTTCAAAGCTTTTACGTTTATAAATAATGCTTCATAGATGCATGCTTGAAAATGTTGTTATTTTGTCAGATTCTCCCCAGACTCTCTTGTCTTGTTTATGAAGCATCTTATTCTTTATTTCGTACTTATTTCCTTTCTACCTATATATAAATTTACGTCGGGCAAAACAGAATATGATATGAATATTAAACCACTGCCCTAATTACTGGGCTATAGCTTCGGTCGTTATGGAAATGTTCATGCATCACATTTTAACACGATGTATTGAAAGGTTTTATTTACCTTTGCAAGTCGATTCGTTTCGACCAGGTTCGCCAATACAGCATAGAAATGATCCTGGGATGTTGGAGCAATATTCGTCGACTGAAGGACACCTGGCAGTAGACTGAGAACATTCATCGATGTCTATAAATACCAGATAAAGAAGTTTGAATTTATGTTCATACTGGATATTCACCTATGTTGAGCTAAGCCTAGAGCTGTATATTCATTTTTATAATAGTCTCGTGTTCGACTTGTTTTCTTTGAGGTTTCAAGTGTCGCGTCTAGTAGACTCACTCATTCGGGTAACGGGGAACTCCGGCAATCAGACAAAATCACTTAAAGAGATTTGAACGTTTCAGTAACACCTGTTTAAACTTCTTCTTTCAACCTGTAGATGAGAACACTAAAATCGATACATACACCGATTCGAGAGAGTACGAAAGTTCAATTACAGAATTAGTACTTTTACTTTCCACAATCTGCTTTTAAAAATTTGAAATCATTATTACACATAGCCGCCTACGCGGGAGGGGGGGAATGGTCAACTTAACCCTGGTTCCAGGTTTGGAGAGAGGTTTCGGACTTTCATAGTTGAAGTGATGCAGTTTTATTATAATTAACATTGTCACTTTTGAATGTAACTTAAATCTTATCTCCTATTTCTTATCCCCCTTTCAACGTAACTTAAATTTTATCCCGCATCTGCTATCAGTAGCGTAGCCAGGCTGACGATTTGTTCCGCTATGCTAATATTTTGGTGTTCATCAGTTGGCTTTGAAAACAAACAATTTTAAGGACATGAATAATTATACTTACTTGCTCAAAGTTTACATAGCGGACAAAATCATCAAGCTGGCTACACCACTATCTGCCATGCTTTAAGCCTCAAACATTTTTTCAAGCAGTATGAATTCAAAAACCAAACTGTAAAAATGTGTTCACTCAAAATACTATTTTTCTGATTTGCTGTGGATTGGCGTTTTAAAAGAAACATTTGCCCAGGGCCAAAAAATTTTCTGTGCGTCCCTCTTATTATTGTTTATGTGTATAATTTTATATTATTGCTCTGTGAAGCCGAGGTAATTACAAACCTTGGCAAACAGTTCCATTTCCAGCATACCCGTCATTGCATGCGCATCGGTAAGATCCTTGGTAATTAATGCAATAAGCGTTTGGTTGACATATGTCAGGCGACCAGCATTCGTTGATATCTAAGGATGTATATTATAAAATTCATTGAAAAAGCAATCTTTAAAACAAACAAGTTAGAGAAAAAGGGTAAAATGTTGTAATAAGGATAAAACTCGTTGTTGGTGTTGTAGCACTGCATGTGATGTAGGATAGGTTAGATCGCGGTACAAAGCAGGTTTGTTTGTAGCTAAGCAATAAGGTCCACCTTTTTATCTTTACGGCTGGAAAACTGACATTATAATGGCCCTTTTTGCTAAACGTTAATGAGCTAAGTTTTGGTAAAACTGGCATATCTAATGCTTTGAAAGATTACAATAATTGTCTTAAGCACAAAAGACACGATAATGTTCGATCCGTTCGGTCGGTAGGATTATTTTGCTGAATAGTAATGTTTGCGGGATCAGAATTACTAACCTATGCACGAAATGCTGTTTTCGTTATAGATATAACCGCGTTGAATACATCTGCATGAGTATCCCCCATCAGTGTTAATACATTGGGAATTATATGGACAGTTGTCCAGCTGCAAGGCACAATAGTCGACATCTATGGATATAAATATATCAATAAAACATTAAAGAGAAATAAAACAAGCTGGCATAATACTGTACGTTTCATTTGAAGAATTGTTCTCATTTACTTATATAAGTACATATTTCGGAGTTTGGGGGACTGGGAGATATTTTTCCAAAAGTGAATAGTTTCCTGAGTGAATACCTTCCAAATATTCTGAGCGGTCGACCATAACTGATATTATTCTATCATTCTTCTTTGCTAGAATCGAATAGAATTTGCTAGAATTTTTTCGCGGCTTTCAAAGTTAATATTCACCTCTCTATAGCGGTGAATACGTAGTGGCCGCTGTTGTGAAGGCCTGCAGAAATTGAAATGAAGACGAAGTGGTCGCTGGCCAAAAATATTGCAGAATGTGATATTCACAAGGAAATACCGGGATTCCATGATAAATAATTAATCATAATTTTCAGGTCCGCAAAATGGAGTATTTTAATGGGACAATTTAAATTAGAGGACAGCTAAGATTAAAAGCAATGTAACTTGATTGTTTAGCTGTGAATGTTGCTATATAACATCTTTCCTTCATAAATGCTTTTAAAACATTTTGCTAAATATTTTGCCAACTTAATTCTAGTAAGTAATTAAAGTTTTTGAGAGGCGATTTGATTTAAATTAGTCTATATAGCATGGAATCATAATTCGTACACTATAATTCGTCCAATTGAACCAAATGAAGTGGTTTGGGCTGATTGCGCATAAAATTCTATGCATTCCAGACGTATTAGGCCTAGTGTTAAGTCAAAGTTTAAGTGGAGTTTACACTAGTAAATTAAATGATGCTCTGTAGGATTACCTTGGGAGGTACATTCCACTCCAGCATCATGCCTATGACTGCAGTAATAATAATTTCTCCATACCAAATAACGGGCAGGACAACTTTCTAGATTTTTTTCATTTCCAGTACAGCGAACGTTGTACAACCAAATCTTTCCTGAACCATCAGGAACTTGCCATCCACGAAGAGCTCTACGAGCATTCCGATAACCAAGTTGACGACATGCAACGCGAGCATCATTTATGTCCCATGCATCATGACAAATTGTTCCCCATTTTCCTGAATGGAATATTTCCACACGACCAGCGCCATTCAACCTGGATGGTCCTCGCAACCTGAGAGTCGCATCTAAAATTATGGGAAAAACAGGTGGAAAATACAACAAACCATTTTTTTAATGCCAATGATTTTCCAGCCCATCTGAAACAACCGTTTCTCAGACGGTGCCAGCCCGCCTGTTGACGTTCATCCGCAATTCAGATGGCAGTGAAAATCAGACTGCTTATCACTGACATGTACGCGTTTTCATACGCACCACACAGGGAAAGTTTTAATTGCGTGTATCTTTTTATTAATAACTCAATTTATTTTAACATCCTGGTTAACAAATACATGCTAAATATGCGGAAATCTATACTAAGTGTTTTCGATTTAGTCACTTTTTTCTAAATTACATAAGCATTTAGATTTCACGTGTGAGCGCATGCGTATAAAAGCAGAAAGCAGCCCTTTAAGCACACGACGTTAGGAGGACGACGAGAAAAAATGAATGATGTGGTAAAGAGTTGTTGTATATTATCAACTCTATAAATTTAATGAGGTGTAAGACGTTGAAAACATGGAGACAAGATATAAAACGTTGTAAACACAGGGTAAACGACGTTTCAAACTCCAATAAGTCATTAATCACTCGTTTTTCCATAGCATAGCCAGAGATCGCGGACATGGTAAATGCAGACTGCCGTAGATCATTTGCATATTTGTTCAAAATTAATATCTTGAATTGCCGCACTTTAAATAATTAAATTATATTGCGCATTCTTGAATTCCGCAAAATTTTAGAAAATAGCGCATTTCTTTGTTTCTAGTCATAGTTCTAGTAGAGAAAAAAAGTGACTGCGAAGCCATTTTGGTATTCATTTCTGCATGATGATAAATCTGCAGTTGGCCCACATTTTTTCATCATTTACATCTGCAAACAGAGCTGATATTCGGTGATATTAACTGCTTTTATATGCGGAGTTAGTATAGTCCTTTCCATCATCCCTATTTTCGTTTGACCAAGTGACAGTAAAGGGGCCGGGAGGTCAAAAGCTGCACTTCTTTGACTAAATTCAATTGTAGTTTAGCTTTGAATGCATGGTTGGTTTAGGCTAAAGATATCCTAAAGTCTGCGCAAGAAATGAATCGTTTACGCTCACCTCTGCAAAGAGAACCATTTCCAGAATTTTGTGTTTCACAGCATAGATAAGAGCCATTGGTATTCGTGCAATATGTCTGCAAAGGGCAGTGGTATGTTGAATCAGAACATTCATCTTCATCTAAGGAAAAAGAATATTTTAGTTAATCACCTCTTAAAATTAGAAATATTTACTTAGGACAAAGCTGCATATTGCCCGATATTTGTCCTGAAAATTATGTATCGTCAGACCAAGGAAAATTAAATTTAGTATAAAGAATAATCTTGAAAATACCTTGGCAGAAGGTACCATTTCCAATAAATCCACCATTACATGTGCATCGATAAGATCCAGGAGTGTTTGTGCAAAAAGCATCGTAATGACAGTTGTTTACTGTTAAACATTCATTGATGTCTACGAAAAAGATCATAATGAAATTACCTTAATGGCATAATGGGAAATAAACCATCAACCCAATATGAGTTTTTATTCATTTTCTACCTTATAAAATCATTATGTCAATTTAGGGTTGATTTTTATTCGATAGCTAAATTGCGTTGTATTGGGAAAGAAGTACACTGTATAAGTTATGAACCCTTATTAGTTGAGTGATCTTCATGCACGAGAGAAAATTAAACATTCTAGTCGTTGACGTTTATCAAAACGGTGTTATTTGTATAATTACAGGTATTCATAAGATAACGAGTACAATAATTGTGATTGGTAGTACCAGGGATGACCACGCGAGTGTTATTAAGGCGTTTTTAATAAAATGAAATGTGGTCTGCGGCTTCTGTGAAGAAGAGACGATATTAATTTTTATTCCTGCGCGGAAACTGCGTTGATAAATGAGTAGTTCTCCTTCACGTCTGTGAGGTAGATTTAATTGAATCGCAAGGCGAAATTCCTCTGTGTCACTATGATAATAATTTATGCCACATAAAAAATATTCGTTCATTGTTACAATAAAGATATATTGCTCACCAATGCAGGTAACGCCGGTAAAACCTGGGTTACATTGGCATGAAAAACCATTGTCAGTGCCAATACATTGAGATCTAGAATTAATCCTGCAATTGTGCAATCCCATGGAGCAATAATCGACATCTATGAATTCGAAAAATAACGAAAACGTATGACATATATGAGAATTTAGACACGTGCGTGCATATGGCTGTTCAAGATGAGCCCGGTTGCCGCGGTTTAACGTAGCGTAAAATAGACTTTGAGGTATTGAACAAAGTCTTTTGAAACAGAACAATCGCATGCTATTGTTAGGATGATTGCACGACTACAAAAAGCGTAAAATGCATGGTTTACGCTTCGTTAAATCTCAGTAAGCGGGCTCATGTGAACAGGCCCTTACATCGGGAATCAAGTCCAAATACATATAAATACATAATTTCGCAGCTAAAAGCCCCGTTTTTACTGAACTCGATTTATTGGCACGGCACGGCTAAAATACCGCGCCTATTTCATTCGTGCACGGCCTTTGTTTTGGTAGCCTGAGCGCTATTGAAATTGGGCACGGGTACCCATTTTAGCCCTGCTGCGCCAATAAATTGGTCACGAGCGTAGTGTAATTTGCATTTCTAATAACAACCTAATTCTTTCTTGTGTGCAAATTTTCAAAATTTTTACTTTCAACACGCAAGCTATTTTTTTATCGGATTTTTTTTCTTCTCGATCAAGAACCAAAAATATCTAAACAGCCAACCTAACAATAATATCCTTTACCTTGTGAAGTACATTTCACTCCAGCATCTTCAGAATGAAAGCAATCATGACTTCCCCAACCTTCATCGTCGTTTTGAGGACAACTTTCTAGGTTTTGTTCATTTCCAGTACAACCAACTTCGTCCAACCAAATCTGTCCTGAACCAGAAGGAACTTGACTTCCTTGAAGAGCTGCAAGAGCATTCCGATAGCCAAGTTGACGACATGCAACGCGGGCATCATTTATGTCCCAATTATCATCACAAATTGTTCCCCATTCTCCAGAATAAAATATTTCAACACGACCAATGCCCTGTAACCTGGATGGTCCTTGTAATCTGATTGACTTATCTAAAATTGTGACAATCAAAGTTAGAGAATACAGCAAACCATGATTTGGAACAATGCACACCGCAAAGGATACGACTATTAACCCCAGGAATGAAACATTATATAATCATGGCAATAATGACTTCATTTCATTTTGCCGCGCTTTGCGTTGTTTAATCTGTGTCTTCTACACAAGCTTCTGTGAATGGGAGTTTAGAAGTGGACTTTGGCAAAAACAAAAAACACAAAATCAATGCGACAACCAACTATTCTATCAGTATCTTTATGTTGGCTATTCCCCAGTGCATTTCTACATATTCAAAAAAGTTACTAGGTTACTTGCTTCATTCCCAGATTTGAAAAGGGCTGCGTAATGCATTTTGAGATTGCCGCGCAAAGAAAATCCTTTTTTTATAATCGCCATGATTATCTCTTTGAGGCTAAACATTTTCACAAATAAATTCTGGTTCGGCAAAATTCTGCTAACATAAACAACATTAATGCAAAACTTAAGTCTTTCGTTCAACTAGAATGGAAAACGAGTAAATGAAACAATATAGTACTTTCTTACATTTTACTCAGAACTTTGAGAAAAAATATCTTTGGGAATATTGAAATATACTTTTTAGGCACAGATAAGACCCTGCAATAAATAATAAATGAATCATTTACGGTCACCTCTGCAAATAGAACCATTTCCAGAACTTTGTGTTCTACAGCATTGATAGGATCCTATAGTATTGGTGCAATTTGTCTCTGAAGAACAGTTGTGTGTTGAATCATAACATTCATCGACGTCTAGGTGAAAACAATTCTTTTTTAAAGCGATCATTTCAAACCAAAAACATTCAACCAGACTAAAGCTGTATACCTCGATAGTTGTATAACTTAATGCAATCTTTGCCAAAGAAAATTTTATTGAAAATAGTAAAATACGAATGTAAATACCTTGGCAGAAGGTTCCATTTCCAGTAAATCCACCATTGCATGTGCATCGATAAGATCCGTGAGTGTTCGTGCAAAAAGCTTTTGAATGACAGTTGTTCACTGTTGAACACTCATTGATGTCTAGATAAGATATGACCACAGCTCATAAAGTCTCATAAATCATCGCTTTAATAAAAATATGTAGTTCGTTTTATTGATCATTTAATTTATTATATAAAAAATCATAGTATCCAAAACACGCGGAATGGCGTAACTGGCACGGAACACCGAGAAGACTGAAACTATAAATTGGCCGCCATCGGCCAAATTGAAGGCCTCTACAAAATGAGTTTAGTTAATAATTTGGGAAGGTTGAAAGGCGAATGTGTTTTTCAGCACGTTCAAACTTGTTAATGTATCTCAAATATTACGAAATCTGGAACCAAAAACAATTCCACCGTTAGTTAATGCAGTCAATTTTCTTGATCTATTGGAAAGTTGAAATCGTTGATTAAAATTTTTTATTGAAGTGTAGGATTTTTCCCGAAAAAACACGAAGTTAACTGTATTTCGCACGAAAAGACGCCCTCCCTTGTTTTGTAGGTGTGCGATTCTTCCACCATGTAATCGAGTCAGTTTCAGCAAAATTAATCATTATTGTTTATTATGGAGTTATCGTTCCAGTTTCATTAGAGTTCATCGAGCCAGCCTGCATCTCGATTCTATGTAAATGTGAATTCTTTTTTTTCTTCACCTCAAAAGTGGTATAAAAACTGCCTAAAATATACAGAGGTTTTGCCATTTTAGGCTGATGTTATACCACATTTGAAGCGAGGTTGTTTGAAAACGCTGCCACGCTTCTCTGTCTATATAGTTATACTTTTTCTTTTTTTTGAAAGTCGACGGAAACTGTCCTCGTTTTTAGGAAAATATAGCTGGCTCAACTTTTATTTTTTGCTTAGCAATTCCCGACTGCTTGTGACTTAACGCATAATTATAATAAAGATTTATCACTTACCAAAACAAAAATAGCCGTTCCCGGTAAAACCTGCAATACACCTGCAGGGACGACTGGCGTTCCTAATACAATCAGCATATCTGGAACAAGATATGCAAGTAAAACCTATAAAAAAAAACGAAAACAGGGAAGAGAGAATCTCATATTTAACAGACAAGAAAACCTTTTTTTCGCTGAGATGGCGATATTAGGTTAACTATATTATATAGCTATAGATGATTTATTTCTTATAGCAAAAGTTAAGAAATAGAAAACATTTTCTATGTATATACAGTTTTAAAAACACGCGTGGGAAAAAATCAGTTGGAAACAAGCCTGTAGGGCGAGTCTTTCATGCATGGATGTAAAATATTATAACCTATATTTTATTTTTTTTAGTTGCCCGCTAGTTTTTAAATGGGGGGAGGGATGTGCTAATGCACTGATATCTTAATTGTGTTTAGCATTATTAGCCACACACTTAACAAACTTCCGGATCCCCAGATTGTAATATAATAGACTTAGGTACATTGTATCGTACTAGCGGTGTCCTCATTGAGTAGAATCTACCGCCTTAAGTTGATATCAAAATAAAGTCTTGATTTTCATGTGAATTTCGTTATTATCGAGTTTTCCGAAGGGTTTAAAGCTCCTCACAAAACGTAAATGATCCTTGAACTTATGATTACACTTTTAACAAAGCTGTGTAGCAGGAGCATACATAACACCACAAATTTTTCATCTTCTTTCAAGATGAATAAATATTCCTTCACTAACTCACTAAGCATGTTTGTAATGCATGACCTGCAATATCAGACAGTGCTTGCATGCAACAATTTACACTTTAAAGCCAATACCACTGCATTCTAATTTTGCTTACATTTTAAAATTTAGGCTTAAAAATATGAAACTAATGAAGTGCGTGTCTATATATAATTCTGCTGCCCTGGCATTTCCTTTTCAACAAACCATGTTAAATATAGTTTAAATGCCAAATAAACATCCGTCGTAGCTAAACTAGCAATACTGTATAAATTATGTATTGATCCCATAAATCACACGGCTATTATTCCTGTCGTTTCGAATACATCGTGAAACATGCATATCAGTGCTGACTAATTCGAATTTTGTTTCTCGTTACACTCATTTGCAATGATACTGAACAGTTAATATACTTGATAATATTACCAGCTGTGACGCGCAGCGCGCTCGTGCACGTAGTTAACCAGGGCGCTTATAAGCGCCCTGTAGTTAACTGACAATCGTCATTTTTGATACCATGAAAGAACAGTGTTTTAGGTATCGAATGTCGTGCTATTTCCAAAATTTCCGTCTTTGAAAAAACGAATCCAAACCGTACGCTAGTGTCGTTAGTCTTCGACTGGCGATGGGCGTTTTAGATCTTTTATTGTATTTATTATATTTCACCAATTTGTTGTATAATTATGTATTTTTGTTTCTAAAATCGATTTCATGTCCCTTTGAAAATCAGAATAACTGAATGACAACGGTAAGACAACACAAAATTCGTAAACTTGAATGTTTTTTTACAATCTTAAGAATTATGCTTGTTTGCTCTTAGAGATACCCTGAAGTTTTTAAGAGTGGCACAAGAAACAATAGCGAATGCTTATTAGTTAACTATGGACACGTGAGACTATACCAAAATTTATACTACCACTTTTTTACCGCTATCCATATCGTAATACTTGCATGTACAAGGCTGTTGTATATTTGGTAATAATTGTTTGAACAAGCTATTTTCATCGATGGGAATGTTCCAATTGGGAATTCTCCGTGCGATATTATCATTGTTCACTGCAAACGCATAGCAATATTCTAATATATCAAACATTTGACATGTTTACGACAGTTACTATGCGACTAAATGTAAACTGACCAGCCTTATAAGCCTCACTACCAAGTAATGTTTGTGTACCCTTTAAGGTTTGATATTTTTTAGAAGTTTCAATTATTACAAGAGACTTTAAATTAAACCCCCAACGAATTTGAATTTTTACTACATTCGAATTTGAACAAACATGCGGGCATTTGCCATTCTTTGCACAGCGACAACAAATTCCCTACTTGTTGTATACGTATACCTAAACACCTGCTCACCCATACACCTCTAGCATGCAATCACATGCGTCTATAAAGACACATTCCCACTACTGGCTACATTCCGACTGTTCTCGAATCATACCGCGGCTACCGTTATTCGTTTTTTCACATATAGGTATCAATTTTTACACTAGAGATTTACGTTTACGAATTTCATGTAGGCCAGCAAACGCCTAACAGCTAACGATATTTGTGTTTTTACAACGCTTTCCCAAAGTGCCACAATATCTTTAGGTGATGAACGCGTTCCACGCATGTCCAATACTGTCAAATAGACACGACCCGTACGACTCGTAAAATTGGACGAATTGAATGAATGTCTTTTCGACCCGTACGATTTGTCAAATCGTACGAGTCGTTTCGACCCGTACAAGTGGAGAAATGCATCATGATGTGTTTAGAGATAGAGGGACTAATTCTATTCGTCGACCCGTACGATTTGTCAAATCGTACGAGTCGTTACGACCCGTACAAGTGGAGAAATGCGTCATTGATCCCACCAAATTCGGTTGGTCCGTAGCTACTATTGTTAGTGGGGAAATGCGTCATGCTGTGTTGCCCGATAGAGGAGTCTAACTCTATTCGTCGACCCGTACGATTTGTCAAATTGGACGAGTCGATTCGACCTGTACAAGTGGAGAAATTAGTCGTGAGTCGATTCGATCCGTATAAGTGGAGAAATGAATCGTGCTGGGCTGGACGCACAACTCAACAAATATAAATACATATTCGATTGCCTCGCTCTTTAAAAACCACACAGACACATGCAGAGTTCCACATGGCACATGCGAAATATTTCAATTACCAACGCACAACTCAGCGAATATAAATACATATTGAATTGCCTCGTTCTTTAAAAACCACACAGACACATGATTCCACATGCGAGATATTTTAATTAGCAACGCACAACTCAACAAATATAAAACATATTGAATTGCCTCGTTCTTTAAAAACCACACAGACACATGCAGAGTTCCACATGCGAGATATTTCAATTACCAACGCACAACTCAGCGAGTATAAATACATATTGAATTGCCTCGTTCTTTAAAAACCACACAGACACAGGATTCTACATGCGAAATATTTCAATTAGCAACGCACAACTCAGCGAATATAAATACATATTGAATTGCCTCGTTCTTTAAAAACCACATATTATTCAACATAGGGAGTATTGACTTTCAGTTAGCAATGCACATGCAACTCAACAAATATAAATACATATTGAATTGCCTCGTTCTTTTAAAACCACATCGGCAAATATAAATACACAGTTAGTTATAAAGCCACTACAGGCCACTAGCGATATTTTTCGCGCGAAGTGACATTCTATTTATGTCAGAGCTCCCAACTTTCATGTATTATAGGAAATTAGTGTTATTACTGATGGTCGATCTCAAAAAATCGATCTCTTTCATGACACGTGATTAAGTCATTTTATTTATCTGTGAAACGTGTTGCTAACAATTAACCTTCGTTATTCATAAGTCATAACTCGCCTATTCACTTTGCCCGCTTGGTTATGCACTTATCGCTAGCAATTCAATATCTGTTACTCGTGCCGGAGACCCGCACTGATCATATCATAACATTGACATAATTACCGCTTCCGCAGGGCACCAAGCGGTGCATTCCGCACGCCAACCAACAAATATAAACTATACCCCGGCCGCCGTTTAAACAGAAAGAAGTTATTAAAACCATTTATGGCGACACAACAATTCCTTTTGCAATGTTCAAAAGCGCAAATTTCTCAAAGACGTCTTAATTTGTTTAACGCGTTAACGGCGATTTGTTTTACCCCATTTCCTTATGGCTTCACCATATGAAAAAGATCTTCTGGAGAAAACCGATTGGTGACCAACATACTTTTCAATTAACTCTTTTCTTGGTTGAAAATGGGTGTCCACCTTGGTTGGCAACAGATTGGATACTGACCTCAACTTTTTGGGACAAAACAAAGACAGTCGCAAGATTTCATCAAATAAAATGGATTGTTGAAAATCGCGTGAAACACAACAAAAATTGGTTCTACTTCGACCTACATTTTAATAAATACGTCTACCTGGATGGAACAGACAGGCTCTTGCCTTAATATATAGGAGATTATATACAATTTAACATATACAGGGTGAGTAAAAAAAAACTGACACCTTTGAAATTAAAATTAGCCGCGAACTTATGGCTAGAATTTGACAATTCCCATTGTGTACAATCAACAAGACGTGGTTAATTAATGCAAAAGTGTTTATACCAATTGAACTAATTCCACGTTCTTTTTTATTACAGAGCTTAGAATGCATTTTAACAGGGAACAACTGACTTTATGTTCTACTTAATTAATTCACTCATTTGATATGCTTCGTATACCCATAAGATATTTTAGGCAACCTCTGTCTCATTACAGCCTATTACAGACTCATTGCAGCTAATTTGAATTTCAAAGGTGTCAGTTTTTTTTGACTCACCCTGTATACTTATGTAATTAACAATTTAATAGCGCGTGAACGCTCTTCCGGCATTAAAGACAGTTCCTGCATGATCAAAACCGAAACATACTAACAACATTCCCGTCCCACAAAAGCCACTGTATATTTCAGAGAAGTTCATGGCGTCAATCTGTTATTGTGAAGAAAAAGACCTGGGTCAGTTGACAGTTGTACAAAAGCTGGATAGCGCTATCCACCGAATAGTGATTTTTTCAATCGCTTCAAAATTGCCAGTTGTTTGCTATAACTTTGATTAAATCTTATAATAGTATTTCCAAAACAGAGGATCCTCTTTAATAATTTTTGCTCCCAAAGCTGAAATTTGATTGCTATTCGAGGCTTTCGAGCATTTTTAGAACGGTTGAAAAACCACTATCCAGTGGATAGCGCTATCCGCCATTCACACAAGCAACCCCAGACAACACTTGCAACATGCCACGCACATATTGACAGAATATTTAAGAGTCAAACGTTGTTTCGCGTAAACAGTTAGTTATAATCCTTATCCTTATACATCTTGTAATAATATGATTATAATAAAATAGTTTCGATACTATTATCCGCTCTTTTTACACTATACCAAATGAAATTCATTGTGCGCGATAGTCGAAGAACAAAGTGGTAGCATTAGACTTTTCAAAAACTCTTTAAAAAATATTTTTCTACAGCCACAAAACCTTTAAAGGGCCCGTTTTATACGTGAAAATATTCTTTATCTCTAATTGCTAACTGGGGTCGGCACATGAAAAGACGGAGTTATATGAAACGGGCCATACAATTACTTCATGATTGGTTCCGGTCATATACTGATGACAATACTCATTCTCATTATACTCAAGACACACAAAAAACACCTCAATATATATGGCAGCGCATACAAAATATAGGTCAGAACAGTTTTCTAAACTCGTCGCAAATTGTTTTAAATATTTACGAAATTCTTATGGGCCGAAATTTCCAATCAGTTACCCATATTTTTAAGCCCACAACACTCACTTTGTCACTCGTGACTCGATCTACTAGAAACGCATTCATCCAAGTCCAGTTACGCGCACTTCACTTGTAATCATATGCCTTCGTTCCTCTAAAGCCCTGATTCCACGGGCGAAATTTTTAAGCGAAATGCGAAATATTTCGCCTGCTTCTTTTAAATTATGAGCAATGAAGCAGAAGTGATTTTTTAAGTGGTAGAAATTCAAAAGAAACAAGCGAAATATTTCGCATTTCGCCGAGAAAATGCGCCCGTGGAATCAGGGCCTAAGAAAAAATCTTAAGGCATATAATTAGCAGAAATCGTTCCGCCGCGAAATACTGCAATTTAATTTTTTACTCTTATATGCCAACACATATAAACCTAGCAAGATACCGCGGTGCTTTTGTCGGAAATCTGACCACCTCACACTAATAAATAACACTTGCTACATCCTACAAATCAACGTTGACACGTTTATTATATCACAACTCACATGCACATAAAAGCGGAATAGCAAATACCTTCGACTCATTCCCAGTCAGAAGTTGATCTTAAAGTGCAGTGGTTCGCAAATAAAAATAACTGAAATGGCTAATCCTGTTCAAATGATGGACACTTCTTTGAAGACAAACAAAACTCGTGAAAAGCATAGAACTTTTCCTTTACAGGAGTTGCAACAAAACTGTTCAAAAACAACAGACTTTTCCCATAGCTCACGAACCGCGCATTTTCGACTTCGATACTCTCACTACTCTGATTACCCATTTCACAATCATTAGCACGTTTTCTGGTCCCGGATAAACTGGAGAACTGCGAAACTAGCAAAAAGGTTTCCCCAATAACCTCAAATACAAAAAGAAACTTGGCCAACGCTGAAAAATCTTCTAAATAGCAGGCCATCTTGTAAACACAATTACTGACATGGCCATAAACTCGTTCCCAGTAAAACTTGCGAATCGTACGGGTCGTCGAATAGAGTTAGCCCCTCTATTTCTAAACACATCAGGGTGCATTTCTCCACTTGTACGGGTCGAAACGACTCGTACGATTTGACAAATCGTACGGGTCGACGAATAGAGTTAACCCCTCTATCTCTAAACACATCATGATGCATTTCTCCACTTGTACGGGTCGAAACGACTCGCACGATTTGACAAATCGTACGGGTCGACGAATAGAGTTAGCCCCTCTATCTCTAAACACATCATGATGCATTTCTCCACTTGTACGGGTCGAAACGACTCGCACGATTTGACAAATCGTACGGGTCGACGAATAGAGTTAGCCCCTCTATCTCTAAACACATCATGATGCATTTCTCCACTTGTACGGGTCGAAACGACTCGTACGATTTGACAAATCGTACGGGTCGACGAATAGAGTTAGCCCCTCTATCTCCAAACACACCATGATGCATTTCTCTACTTGTACGGGTCGAAACGACTCGTACGATTTGACAAATCGTACGGGTCGACGAATAGAGTTAGCCCCTCTATCTCTAAACACATCATGATGCATTTTTCCACTTGTACGGGTCGAAACGACTCGTACGATTTGACAAATCGTACGGGTCGTCGAATAGATTTAGCCCCTCTATCTCCAAACACACCATGATGCATTTCTCCACTTGTACGGGTCGAAACGACTCGTACGATTTGACAAATCGTACGGGTCGACGAATAGAGTTAGCCCCTCTATCTCCAAACACACCATGATGCATTTCTCTACTTGTACGGGTCGAAACGACTCGTACGATTTGACAAATCGTACGGGTCGACGAATAGAGTTAGCCCCTCTATCTCTAAACACATCATGATGCATTTTTCCACTTGTACGGGTCGAAACGACTCGTACGATTTGACAAATCGTACGGGTCGTCGAATAGATTTAGCCCCTCTATCTCCAAACACACCATGATGCATTTCTCCACTTGTACGGGTCGAAACGACTCGTACGATTTGACAAATCGTACGGGTCGACGAATAGAGTTAGCCCCTCTAGCTATCTCTAAACAAAACATGATGCATTTCTCCACTTGTACGGGTCGACGAATAGAGTTACATGATGCATTTCTCCACTTGTACGGGTCGATAAGACATTCATTCAACTCAACCAATTTTACGGGTCGTACGGGTCGTGTCTATTTGACAGTATTGGACAACCCTCACGCGTTCAGCATTAATCTCGAGATATAAGAATGGGAATGAAGAGATGTAGGAAATCAAAGGCCATTTATGACTGATATATTTAGGCAAGGAGTGAATCCTGCCCTTTGCAGTATTTGTTCACGTTTGCGGTAATTTTGTTTATGGTATATTTAATACGCAGAATTTTATACGCCAAACGACAAGCAGATACACCGACGCTAAATTAACTTCTTGGTTAAAATTAATAGAACTGCATGCAGTACATGGCTTTTGATTTCTTAAATCAATGCTTAATTTTACTAATTTTATGCAGAATGCTCACGATTTTAACGAAGTTGTTGCACACTCTAAGATTGTGTAGTTCAAGCACAAAGTTTGTTAAGACTTTGGCGGTTTACGTAAACTTCAATCTTAACGGGTCTGTTATACATTCAGAGTGATGTTAAATTGTTAATATGCGATCACACAGCCCCCACTTATCAGCCCATACTGAATTTTCTGCTTAACATAATTTTATTGCACTATCGGTGAAGTTTAATAATAAAAAAATGAGAAATGAATTTATTGTACGTAAACATGCATGACTTACCTTTAGTCTCAACAGTTGCAAAATGTGCAAATAAAACAAACGCACACACTTTGATAAATGCATTCAGTGCCATTCCTTTGCCCGTTAAATTAGATAATTAGCTGGAAATCAGACGCTACATCATATTTTATAACCGGTTCAAGTCTCTTCCGAATGTAAACACTGGGCGTGCTCTTTCATGCAAATTGTTGGGCGGGTTTGATTGAGTCCTAGTTTGTATAATATATAAATATTATGGTTATATATATCGCCACCTGCAAAATCTGGTTTAACCGAATAGGAGTGCAACGCTTTTTTAAATATATTTGCTTTTTGCTTTTAAATAAACTAATGATAACAAGCATCATACGTCTTTTCAATAGTTTCATTTCGACTTGTTAACTAATCTGGATTGAATTGGCAGGAACTGCATGTTTATGCAAAACTGCTGAAAACGTGCTGGTTGATTAGAAACGCATTAATGCTAAAATACTCCATAACATCTTGACAAAACGTTTTGCACGTTTAATATATGGATAAGGTTAAATTGTATCAACGTCAGATTGGTGTTGTTTTTCTAACTTGATTCAACATGTTTTAACAACGTTGTTCGGTCTTAAGTTTAACTATTTGCCCCTCTATACATCCTAACTAAAGTCCTAATGAACCTGGGCAAAGTTGTTCTTTAAAGGTTGTTCTGCCGAGCACGCTCCTTTGGAGAGTTTTAGGAGCTGTTTACATGAGCCCGGTTAACCGAGATTCAACGAAGCGTGAGAGGACTTTCAGGTATTGAAATAAGTCCTAATGACACCGAACAAGCACATGCTATTGTTGTGGTGATTATACGACAGCCAGGATCATGTTATCTGCTCATTTCAATACCCCAAAATCATCTCACGCTTCGTTGAATCTCGGGTAACCGGGCTCATGTAAACAGCTCCTAAGGGGCAATAGCATGTGCTTGTTTTGGTGACATAAAGACTGATTTCAATACCTCAAAGTCCTCTCACGCTTTGTTGAATCTCAGGTAACCGGGCTCATGTAATACTAAACAGCCCCTTAAAGCAGGGATCACCTTTTTTAATGACACTCTCTATAGTTTTTAAGCACAAAAGACAATAGCGAATGCTCATTAGTTTACCACGGACAAATTAAATGGAAATTTCTCTAAATTCTCCATAATTATGCAAATTGTTCACTGCAAACGCGTAAAAACAATATACAGAATTATTAAAAAATCCTGTACTGAATTCCATTTTTTAGTTGTGAACCTGTGTAGTCAAATTTGGGAATTTAGGCCTATATTTTACACTGTACCGGACAGCAATTTCGTTACATTGTTCACGTTTTACATAATAGAGCTCATAAAATTCAGCATTGATGTAAGAAAGCAAAGACCACTGCATTTGCATTTAGCAACACAATAAATTCAGTTCTGCAGTATCTGTTTTTCGTTTGCTGTATAAAATATTATGCCTGAAAAGCTGCATACACTTTCATCCGTTCAGGCATTTCATACGGCAAACGTGAAAACATACTGCAAAGCATGAATTCTTCATTGCTTTAATACATCCTTTTCTGTTTATGGTGAACGTTTTGGACTTTACACTATTGTGGCATTTCATCACAAAATTCGTTAGCGTCAGTCCGTTCGTTAGCGTCAGTCCGCCAATCTTAATATAGTTAAAATGCTTGAAGGGTCCTCGGATATTAGTGTTTGTATAAGGCTGCTTTTATTTAGTAATTTTAGTTATGAACATGCACGTTAACGTGGTTGATGTATTGGAATATTTCAACTATTCCATGTAAATCTATTATATACCTGCTGATGAAATCTAAGAATACTTAATTTAGCTAGAATAAGGAATTCCAGGCTATATTATCGATACGTTAAAAATGATCATAGTAGAAACAAGCAAACTCAGTATTTGTTCGCATAATTATTTACTATATTAAACATCATGGACATAGAACTCACCTCTTAAAATACCGTTACCACCGATTTCCCGTGCCGATATATTGCTTATATTCCGATAAAAGGACGATTCCTAAAGGTGCGAATCTTGATCGGTAGTATACAAAGTAAAAGATGTATAATAATCAACCAATATTCTCTCACACATGTACTCAAATTTCCCTCTCCCTCATTGTTTAATCTTGAAAGGTTGGAAAATTGCATCCGGCAATTCCTATCTGCGAACAGGCTTGACTTTTGAACAATAGTGAGCTATATAAAACTTGCTGATCACAAATAGGGAATGATTATATATTTTGTCTTTTATATTTTATTCAAAATTACTACTAGAATTATGGACTGCACGCTTACTTGTACAAATTTCATAAAAGGTACAATTTTCTACTAGCTACGATAACAAATTGAGTTGAGCTAAAAAGTGAAGAAAAAAATAATAGATACTAGACTTACTATAGTTAAACATGCATAAAAATAATGAATTCTTACTCTCCCCTGTAAAATCGTAAAAGGCGTAAAATGACTGTTGTCAATGATCACTTTTTCAAAACTTCAAATGCTCTAGCATTCAGTGACTTTATTGAGTTCATCTTGATCTATTAGCTCACATCTTTCATCACTTGCTTTGACAGTTTTGCTAACATACAAATAAATACATATGTATTCTCCCCTATTTATTATCATACCAACTCTCCTGACGAAGGCCCTCAGGTTGAAACGTCGAGAATTGTTTTCTCTATTTTAGGCAGTTGTTATACCACATTTGATGTTAAGTTGTTTGAAGACGGTGCCAGGCTGCTCCACGGTTATATTGATATTTACCTGTTGTAATACATTCTACTTCAGCATCTCTAGAATTAATGGCCGCAGTAACTGTCTCACAGCGCCAATTCATGCGCACAACTGTTCAGATTTGGTTCTTTTTCACCAGTACAGCCAACCTTGTTCAGCCATATCTGACCAAATTCTGATGAAACCTGTTTGCCATGAAGAGCTCTAACAGCGTTGAGATAACCAAGCTCCCAACATGAACCCTGGCATGATTGAAATCCCATCCGTAATCACAGATTGTACCTGAGGTCCCATTGCGGAAAACATCAACACCTTTTGAACTGGATGGAACTTGTAACCTAATGTTTCCAGACTGAACTGTATAAAAAGAAACATTTGGTTGCTAAAATAACAATATCGATCATATTATATTGATCGTTAAAAATTGTAAATCAAAAAAATTAATCAGAATTTTTTACCTAATGGGCAAGTTGATCCATTCCAGCATGTTGATCATCGCATGTGCACAGATAAGATCCGTCAGTGTTGGTACAATTTGAACCTTGTAGACAATTGTCAGCAGACAGAGCACATTCGTCGATATCTGAAGACATTCAGGATAATTTTTTTTTGTTTTAACATTTTTTTTCGCAGCTATCAATTTAATCCCATGCATAGAAATATTTTTGCCAAAGGTACGCCGAACAATCAAATGCAGGGAAAAAACCGTGTTGGATGATGATCATTTTCTCGCAACATGTAATGTTATTCTACTTTTAAGAAATGTAAAGTTTGCAACTACGAAACTTTTGTGTCGTTTATTATTTCCGTTACTTATGGCGGATTTTTTTTGTGCTGAAGCGAGATATGGTTCCAATTAGCAATGGCAATGGCAATGGCAATGACAACCGCGATTTCTTTCGTTGTTTTAGGTACAGTTTCGTATTTATAATTAACTTATTATAAATTAGTGGTTTTGTCAAAAATGCCCGTCTTTTTGAAAAACCCACCCGGGTGTTTTACGTTTATTAATCGGAGATTACTCGACCAATGAGTGGTCAAAATTTGAATAATTATACTTAGAATGATTGCATAATAATCAATAATAACTATACTAAAATGATTACATGATAATCAATAATAATTATACTAAAATGATTATATGATAATCAGTAAAACAATTATACTAAGGCTGATTATATACCGTCACACACTATTCCATTTCCAGTGTATCCCACATTACACGTGCACCAAAAAGAACCCATCGTGTTAATGCAGGAAGCTTTTATCACAGTTGTTGTTAAGAGTTGAGCACTCGTTGATATCTAGGATTCAATCGGTTTTTAGTTGAATTTAGAATACAGAGAACGTTGAAATTTGCTCGGTTATCCAAGACCTGATTAACTACAATCACATTTAAAAAATAATAATATGTGAACAGAATTTTTACAAAAAGACGGTTTAATAACAAATGCAAGTCTAAAGTATCCAACAATTAGAACAAAAGTGCTACTCTAAGAAGGTGAAATACAGTACGTTATTTTGTGACTCAAAGATTTGATGATTAATGTGACTCAAAGAAAAACCAAAGAAAACTAGCTATTATAAACTCACCAGTACAAGTTCTGTGTTCTATAACCTGTTCTATAACCTGGATTACATAAACATAAATGTCCCCCAAATGTTTTTTACATCGTGAATTCCTGGCACACGTGTGACTTAATTTCTAGGGCACATTCATCGATATCTAAATTGAAAGAGTAAATAGGTCAGGACATGCTGACAGGACAACTGAAGTAATATTAAAATGACTTTGTATAGTGACAATAGGCAATGGAATATTCCCATTATAGGAACAAAATTTATAAAAATATGGTGGAAGTTTATTTGTTTAATACGCAGTGGACATATATTATTTGTTTATAAAATCTTACTTCTTTTGAAGCTGCTTTTCCAATTCGGATTTTTCCTGAAGATTCTTCTTATACAATAAAAATATGGTGGTAGTTTATTGTTTAAGATATTACTGTGGCTAATAGATGACGTATTGATACAGTATTCCCTGGATACATGTATTATGTTTCATTACAATTCATATAGTACTGCATTACCTAATATTAGAGAGGTTAAGCTACCCCAGTATGGTATACGGGTACGGGTAGCCATGTTTGGTTCATTGTTTACACGTTTCAAAATACAAATAACGCTTACCTCAAGAGGCTAAAGTCTACTAGAAAAGAATTGTCGTGTTATTCTTCGAAAAAATTGAGAAACACTGATGGAAATTCATTGAACAAAATAAGGCTACCCGTACACCGGAACCGGGGTATCTTAACCTCTCTATTACACCAT